TTTGTGCAACTTTCATCTTGTTTACTTACAACGAGTAAAAGTAACAAACGTATTGCAGGCAACTGACAGACCCTACTGTTAACTCAGATAATATATGAATATAAAATCCCATTAATTTCAAAGAAGGCAATGAAAGGAGAGTAGGTAAAAGGTCATACCTACTGAAGGTTAAAATGATACTGTAGTGGGTGCTACTACTGTTAAGAATGGATTTAAGTAGTATATACTGAGAGGTCGTCAGAAGTCATAGACAGTTACCAGCGATGGATAAATATTTTGCACAGAGATATTTTGCAAGAGATAACGTAGGCGTATCAAGAGAAGAACGATACAGAAGAGGATGAGGAAATGAAGCACATTGTGCCAAAGGATATTTCAATGGAAAGGTTACAATATATCATCAGTGTCATAATAAACAACCTTCCGCGATTCACCCTTTGCTGTCTTCTTACAATACTACCTGGCTGCTAGAACCCTTGATAGATGGAGTGCGGTTCAAACTCATAGTCTTTCGAGTGGGAGTTGAGTGATTAGGTCAGTGATGTACATCTCCACAGTTGTTCGAAATCATCACCCTTATTACTTCACATTTATTCGGCGAATTGTGTCTTTAACTTACACTAAATTTATTAAAGTAGACTGACTATTATTTCAAAAGTAAATTTCAATTGATACTCCTCCTTCTACGTAAAACTTTATTGAGGTAACCATTATTTTATCTGATTATGAATATATGTTTCCTGAGTATTTTTAGATGGTCTGTAACTTGTGACTACTATTTATTGATATACTTGTAATTCTCCATCGTTTTATTGGATCGAATCGTCTGACCTCTGTTGGCATATGGGCTCCTATGTGGAAGCTTCAGTATTGCCTGAATGTCGGCTACGGTCTTCAGGGCTGCTTTTATTGCAGATTGGAGATGGCATCAAGCTTCTTCGGGATGAGTGGTGATGTTCTGTCCCGATAACTGCCTAGCCAACTTCTCACTGAACATGGCTTTAGTGTTTTCGTTTTCCAGCAGCTCTCGGAGTGGTTTTGTTGCAAATTTTTCTTACGTGCATTGAGACGCAGGCATATGCGCGCTCGGACTAACGCCTGGTCGCTACCCAAACACGTGCTCCAGAAGGAGCGTCAGTCTTCCACCGACCCTCTCCAGCAGTGATTAACAGCAATGTGGTCTATGTGTGCATCGCTGAGTTGAGCTCAGTGGACGCCTCGTCAGACAGTGTCTTTCTTTATGTCTGAAATTTGAGCTAGCTAAAAACAGGCGATTATCTGAGCACGGTTGTAGTAGGCGGTCACCGTTATCTGTACATTCAGCTGGTACTCCGAAAGTGCCACCTAAGTGCCTTTCTGCCTCACTCAGTCTACCCATCTGTGCATTGAAATCATCTGCAACAACCACCACGTCCAAACATTTGTCTTTCTAGAGGAGGTTAGCTAGTTTTCAGTGGAACTCCTCCTTCACTCCATCCGAGTTGCAGTCAGTGGGTGCGTAAGCAGAGATTACAAAGAGATAACGGTGGGTTTCACTATTCTTTTTAGTTCTCACTGTGCCATTCAGTCGGATACCTCAGAGGCGACTATCAACTGGGATCCAGTCTAGTAGTGAGTTTCCTGTCCTAGTGCTTAATGGTATGCCTACACCTGCAAGACTTCAAGAGCTAGCCATCGAATCTCCAGAAACTCGAAGGGTGAATTTTTCGGATTCACCAAATTGGCCAGGAGAGGTCAGGTGAATAACCGCACTTGGGTTCTGTATGCGTGTCTCACAAACACAGCATACATCCATGGCCGAGTCGCTACAGTCTTTGCTAACGAAGCCTGTTGACCAATTTGACGGAGGGAGTAGACATTGAAGGCTACAATAATGTAATTTGGAGCGTGGTTTCAGGAGACCAGTGATGCTGTTTTGTGAACGCAGATCGTTGTTAAAGGCTGCAGAGCTAGGAGAAATTGAAGATGATGTAGCATTATTAATTGAGAGACGTAAAGAAAGATTAGAAGGTAATGATGGAGGAGGTGGATAGCAGTCTGAGGAAACTTGAGTGCCGACAGAGTTGTGAGGGCGGTTGACACTTCCCGGCTGCCCACACCTTGAAAGGCTATTTCTTCTTAAGGTACCTGAAATAGGTTTTTGTGACCGCAGAGCCTATCGGACAGCTGTTTGAGGCCTGTCACACCCAGCCTTTTGAGTATGATTATTTTGAACTTTTGTATTTTTGGGGCCGGACGGTCGAAAGGAAACGGAAAATGAACCGGCAGACCGTGGGGCATGGTGGAGTGTGTTATTTTTGGGGTCGACCTGTTCTAACCCCTCCCCTTCCACTGAGAAGGCAGCATCAGCATGGCACTGCTGGTCATCGAAGGGAAACACCTTACTGCTGTCACACCCCATCCAGCTAGCAGCAGTACTACTACTCCCTCAGACCCCCATCATAATGTAGCAATTTACACTATAACGGTAACTGCTTTTCGTCTCACCACTATCCAACAGACCTTTCTGGTATGGTAGGACCTCTAGGGAACAAGGGATTCACCAGCATAGCTCGTTGGGTCATTGCGGTATGCAAGCCCGATCACTACGTCAAGGTAGCAGCTATCGGTCGGGTGACTTATGACTACCATTTATTGAAATAATCGTGATTCTTCGTTGTTTTATTGGATCGAACTGTTCGACCTTGGCGTTTGAAGCTGTGGGTGCGAGGTACGAGTCTCAGCGGGAACAACATCACTTAGTAGGGTCCAGGTATATCCAGCTGACGAGTCCCAGATAGGACGAAACGCGCATCCTGGATTCTTCTCCTAGCCATAATCAAGCAAATTATCAGTATGACTTGTGGTTGGTTTTCGAAATACACAAAGTGAATCATTCGCCGGATCAATTATCCGAAGTTTATGCTAATAAAATGCAAAGATATTCGTGGAATAAAATTGCTAGATTAGTTGGTCAGTGGATAGTAACCAATTTCTGAGTACTGATGGAATTCCATCGATCAATATATGTAATACAGTTTTACCGTAGATCAATCATCGCTGACTGTAGTATTGGGTGATGAATTTTCGAACGTCAGAGCTGACATCAACTTCCTTTAGGTTGCAGATATTATGCCCTGCTGATGAGTTTCAACAAGCACTGAACGTAGGTTCAGGACTTCCTACTGTTGTCTATCTCACTGTTTATTTTCAACAACTGAAATACCAGAACTTAGTAATTACGTAACACGCTCAACAGAAATATTGAACTAATAGTAATTACAACTAATGGTGAGTTGCTATTGAAGTTCAACTCTATTACCAGTTTTCTTTTTCGTGTACAAAAGTTTGAAGTTGAAGTTGTTCACTTTGGACGGCTTCGATCTTCTGATCTGTTTCTACCAGGCACCTGGTGATTTCACTGTTGAGAATCTTTCCTTTGGATAGGATTTTGTCCAGGTTTCATTATTTCCTCAACTCACTGTTATAATTTATAATTTCTGGATTTCCAGCTATATCTAACTTTCCATATGCCTAAGGCGCCTTACTTTGGGCTTATTATCCTAGATAACTAATTTGAATTTCCGGTTGTATTGTAAATCAGAATATCATGATATGTAATGAGCGTTTCCACTGTTGAACTAGCTACCTACTTGTTACAGATGTGATGGGCAAAGAGCACTGACTTATTGATCTAAGCATTTGACTGTCACGCGATGACCCACAAGTATGGTATCATTAGACCTCACACAAAAGACGTGACAGAAAAGTTAATTGAAGGTTATCACAAATATGTTGAATTTTGAAGGTTAAAGCTTGTACGTATCCATGGTATTATGATCGATTGTGAGCTATCTATTGTTTCATGGGATCTTGAGGACCCCAGCTAGACTGCTTACAGCTTCCATTATATTTATGCACTTCAAGTATTTTATAGACTGAATAGTGTGACTTTTGGCGCTGCATCTGCCAACTTTATTCATTCATTTCAATAAGTAAAATTTCCCGGCCATAAAGAACGCTCTATCAGTAATCCTTAATAGACTAGAGAAAACGGCAATAGATCTATTCGTTTACCAAACTGGTTTGCATCTGTTGAAGAAGCCATAGTCACTGTCTTCATATGTTTGTCTCAAATTTGAATAACATCAGTAGATTATATTTTATTCTACCAAATCTCTTGGAAACCGCGTCTACTTGACTTTATATCAGTCACCAGTGGCTATCATAGTGACAAAATATTTGTCCCGAAATACTGTTCCAGGTTAAACAAGTTTATTTCTTCAGTTTGATCACCAAAACTGTACTACCGCCTTTCCTCGATGCTGCATGCATATACGGAATAAAGTGTGTGATTCAATTGTGTGTATGTGTGTGTGTGACTACTGAAGGGGTCTAATTTACCGGAAAGAATCCTAATGCAACTCAGCATGTGCATGGTCATTTAGACAGTGAACCACGTCTACCACACGAAGACCGTCTACACCACCTAGCTGCTCAGACATATGTTGATAGAGGGAGAGTTCGAAGCTTGGAGACAACTAATTGAAAGTTGAATGGCTAAAGCAATGAGCTACAATTCTATATATTGTTGTATATCATGTTAGTTAGTGCCTTTTTAGAACGATTTATTTTTCTTCTTATATAGGATTACGACCGTATAGTTGTGATGTCTGTAATAGACGTTTCACTAAATCTAGAGCGCTTAGACTGCATAAATGTGGAACGGATAGACGTAAGTTGTTTCCTGATTTATTTCTTTTGCAAATTGCTATCCCATTCCATCTAGCATGCTTGTGTTTAGTGTGAAAATTTTTCTAAATATGGTAATTACATTTTTCAAGTGCTCAGACTAATTTTTTGACCCCACTCTAAAAGTTACTCAACCAACACACTATATTAACCAATCACATTCCCATTAGGGACGACGAATCACGTTCAAGTATTCACTGACCAATCGTAGTTGAGAATATGAAGGACAAAATAGTTATAAGGCAAAGTAGCAATTTATTTACCATTTATAGGTCTGTTCTTAAGAATTTCCTTTTGTAGCAGGTAGCACAGTGGAGGATAAAATCATCTGTTTTCTCACTGGTAGATACACAGTTACCTTTAAGACGTTGCAAGCAATCCAGCTTCCTGCAAGTAACCGACAATGTAATCTTCGTCGTCAGCAACATCGTACACGGACGCTAATGAATGAATGACCTTCACTTCATTGTCCTCGACGTGATTGGTCATCCTCAAAATTACCCGTCACTAAAGTTTAACCTGACCCCGCTGATTGAATATACTTCAAAACTACTGAATGCAACTTATTTTTATATCAATGAGTTTGAAAATATAACCAGGGATAATATTTTTATACCGACTACATTGAGTCACCGATGATCTTCGTGATTGTGGTTGACTGGACTGGATCATGCAAAAAACTGTGAGGAGCGAGAAGATGGGCATATGCTGGTTGAACGGATAAAAAAACTCCAAAAGTGATTTGGATTTCGCAGATGGTGATTTATGTCCAATGTGTTGTCGCATAAACTCGAAGATATACAGCCGAAAACTAACAAGTTGGCAGAACAGATGTGAGGTAGCGAAGGAAGACGGGACTTCCTTCAGGTGAATGTAGAGAAAGAAGACAGAGGTGACAGATGAAGTTACCCAACCACCACCACCGCCATCACCACCACCACCACCACTAAGAATAACAACAGCGAGCACGATGAACTGGAGAAATCGAAAGGAAGAAGTTGTCTCTTTCACCTACCTGGGCAAGGTAGCATCGTTTCAACTCCACATGGTGGCACAGATGAGGATGTCAAAGTGAGCATCGGAAAGACAGCGGGACAAGCCTTCTTGGATTAGTCTGGAGTCAGTGTGGAAATCTTCTGCACTGCACTGCACTGTACTGCACTCCACTTAGCATAAAGAGTGAATAAGATCTGGATTTTCAACACTAATATTAGTCAAGGAAGTCAGCACTTCTATGTGACGGTTGAGAGACTTGGCGCGTTACGAAAAGCAAACACAACAAACCGCACATATATATCATATCAGCAACTGGCGCCTACACTCACTCGATACTAAAGATGAAGATCAGATGTCCAGGATAATAATAATAAGCAGCAAGGGTCTGTGGCTGGCGACGAGCCAACCAACAACCTGTCACCCAAAAAATATGCAGAAGAAGAAAGTGGAGATGAGTCGGATTGGATTGGACAAAAACTGAGAAGATGGTTCGAAGACACCACACGCCTGTCCAAGCTGTCGGGTGGAAGCCAAATGGGAAACGACAAATTTTGCGTGGGGAGGGGTGACATTGAAGAGATGGTGTGAGGAATAAGTGAAAAGCTATGGTCAGTTGTGAAGGTGAGTTAAAGGGACCGCAGAGAATAGAGTAGAATGGCGACGTGTCACTGAAACCCTATGTTCCACTAGGAACGCTAAGGACAAATAATAATACATTACGTCATCTCTTTCTACATGACATCCGATTAATTTTGATTGAAATGAAAGGAAACCAAGTAGCAATTAACACAGAGTAATGGTTTTTTTTTCAAGCTTTTTATACTTCCTCATAGTAGCAAGAGGATGAAGGCTACTATAATAATTTTCGATAATTTGAAGACGAAGTTTATCTGAACAAGGTGATGTATTTGCGCAATACACATTTCGAACAATCTGATCACACATTTACTTGTGAAGTCAATATATATTAAACCATGGGAATGTAAATTAAGAAAGATGAGAACAAAAAGAAAGGGTGACCTAGTCGATCCTAATCTTGGTAAGAAAACAACGTTTGCCAAGAGGTAGGTGTGTAATGTAAGAACAAATTGTTTTTGTACACAAAAGTGGTTTCAATTTGTTTCTGGCCTATGGCTTCTACAAATCTCAGTATACGTCCCTGACTGTTTCTGTATATAGAACTTTGACAGCTGTTCGAACATAAATTTTGCGACCAAAATCTATGATATGTTTAGGTATAGATGGCAGTAGTCATCTCCCACCAGCGTTTATCACTGTTTCACAATCCATATATTTTTGAAGTCATTTGGGTACATGTTCTCCCACCCTGATCAACTGCCTGGCTCGATTACTCTCTAGGTATTGTGATCATACACACACATGTAAATTGGTAACCACAATGGGACGTATTCATTGGTGCAGTGAAGCATGTGTTTTGTTCTTTCTACAATGATATGACTAGCTGCGTAATATTTTTTCTTAGTGACTGATGTCCGTCTACGTCTTAAACTGATAATATTCAACTCCCCTCTGTATTTATGGTAGAGTGATATGGACACTTCTTAGGAACTGTGTATACAGTTGGCTTTAGTACTACTTGACCTCTAAAACGGTTTATAAACTTCTACTTCAACTATAATAATTAACCGTGAAGTTTGACTCATTCAATTTAGCATTATAAACTGTCAGTTTTTTGTGCTCTTAATTCTGCTCTGTGTAATTTGGATTCCTCATTTCTGTATCTCCATGATACCTGGTCATAAGTAGATTAGAGCCATGAAGTAATTAATGTGGGATTTTTCAAGGTCTACTTATTTCACACCTGTTCAATGTAACATAACTTTGAGAAGATATGTCGGTTTAGTTGTGGAATGTGTGCTGTGCACTTCAATTGACTGAGATAATTTGTGCTAACAGCTTGTACTTTATCTCAGTTATATGCATATACATATGGCTTACCGTTGTTAATAACTAAGTGTATTTATATCCCTCTTCATCTTCTCTTGTGATTACTACTATCTATGATTTTTGACTACAGTTTGTTTTCTATTGGTATGTGTGTGTGTGTGTGACTATTTTTCCTCTTTTTATTTGTTGATGATTGAAGGCGAGATGAAAATTTAAACCGCGATCGGATTCGAACTAGCGACCACTCCTTTTCCAATCCAATGTTCTACCAGCTGAGCTACGAGGTCCGACTGCTGACTAGATTTTTATTTCACTTCAATCACCAAGGTTTTTTTTTACCCGACTATCATGTAAATTCGTGACACGTGTTACTACAGCTTGATCGCATTCAGACTGACTGCCTAGTCAGGACTTCTTATCCCAATCGAAATGTAAGTGGATTAGAATGAGAGGGGAAGGATCATTTTGATTATCATTTGACCATGTGAGATAGTAGCCGTGGTTTGGCAGACTAGTATTTATTCTGGAATGATCATTGAGGATGAAATGAAATTTTTGAACCAGCGGCCACCGGGTTTCCACCCCGATGGTCTACCAACTGAGGACCGAGGTCCAACTTTTGTCGTGATGTGGTGATTTAAGAGTCGGCAGCTTGGCAACATCATACAATCAGTATTGTTAGATGCCACGTTGATACTGACTGACTGATGATGGAAATTGAATTCTTTACAGATCTGAAATCATCTCCTACATGACTTATGCGTATATTATTACACTTAACTGATTGAATGAAAACCATGTTTTCGGTCACTTAGGTTGACTAACCTGTTTAGGTATTGTTTCAGATAATCAAGTTTACCTTTAACAGTCATCTATACAAGTCTATCCTTGGTGTTAACATTTCAACTGTGTTTTGATGAAATTGTTCAATGTCTTTTCTGTGTAAATATGCTTATTTTTCTATCATTCTGCATAGAGATATCTCATTCTCCTTTATAGTGAATCTATGAAAGCTTCAACATCTTACTTTCCACATCTTGTTTATTTTGTAGCATCGAAACCTTTTGTTTGTGATGTTTGTGGTCGTGGATTTTCGCATATGCACACAATGAAAATACATCGTGCTTCTAATCATGAAGGTTTGTTCAAAGAGGGAGACTAACAGAGAAATAGAGAGAAATATATCATTTTCGTTTTTCATTTTTGCCTAAGTTATTATTCATCTTGAAAAGGCAAGGAATATACTCATACAGTTGAGTCTGATTGTTGTTAGAGAATTCTTGGCACCATATAGTGCGTTATCTCTCAAGCCTTGATGGTTCGCTCTATGCGTTTACTTCATTTGGCGAGTCTATGGACACGAATAACACACACGATCTTGTGTTCAACTCAGGTGTCATGCCCTTCTTTGCGTAACTATCTCGATTCGACCCTGTGTGTGTGTGTGTGTGGTACCGCTCAGGCCTACCAGTTTAACTCATTTCTTCAACCTATTGTATGTAAAACTTCTGCTTCTGCATTGCTCCCCGGTAGTCTAATGGACAGTGATGATAATACAATTTAAGTCTTTTGGTACCACTCACCTTGATTTCATCATGTTCTGCAACTGTTGAAGTATGATAGAACGCGCAGTATTTAAGAGTTTGGTTACTCCTTTGATAAGCATTCAGATATCTCTCTTCTGTGGCATGAATGGTTTCAGCTCTCAAAAACTAATCGATTTTCTTTTGTATCGGTGTTTAACACTGCTGTTACCTAATGATAGATAGTGTAGCTGTTGTCTGGATATATCAATCCGCTTATTTTTCTCATCACCAACTCAGCGATCATATGATTACTGTAATACTTTGATTTCGTCGGTTCGACAGTCGAAACATCATAGTCAACTGATGTAGTTCATTTGTAATCAAATAAACTGCAAAACACAACCATGATAAGATAACCAATGAAACTGAACTCTCATTGCCTTCGTGGTAAATCTAGTTTGAAAACTTGATTGTTACATTAAAGGATAACATGTCTCGTGTAATACTTTAGAAGAAAACAGTTTCACAACTAAACGCACCTCAAAATGATTAGAGTAAATTGAATTTTATTAAAAATTTCATGGTTTACAGATCTATTTTGTGAATCATTATCTATAAAACAAGCAATGAATGTGAAAAGAAATCATGATTTAATGAATTCATAAATTTCACTGGTATTCATCAGCCGCACACTCCACATACTTGACAACATACACATACCTTTAAGCAATGCAAAATAATATACATACATAACGTGAACTTAGACGTCGATTTATATATTAACAACATAGAAACAAAGAGTGTATACAGATCAGGTGGTAATGTAAAGGATGGTAGGAATGGATGTTCAAAATTCATTACCTATGAGTTTGAATAATAGTGCAGTCTAAGGATCACTAGGTTTCCGGCCTAATGGCTGCTGGTTCGAATCCCGCCAAGGTCCAAATTTTTTATTTCACCTTCACAATCATCACCCATTATCAGTGTTTGTCTGCCAAACCATTACTATCTCATAATGTCGAAATGATAATAATAATAATAATAATAATGACACAGGGGGTGAGAACTGAATCAATTGAGCGTAGATTGCGTCATTCAATCTATATGGTGCTTAGATTGTACTATTTATCCAAACTCATAGTTAATCAGGTAACCTATCCTGTAACCTATTGAATTTTTGATTGCCCATTTCTACTACGCTTTACATTACCACTTCAACTGTATAAACTGTTCATTTCTATGTTGTTACACCTAAACCAATGTCTCAGTCTATGTTGTAATATGTAGAGTATGCGGCTGATGAGTATTATTGAAATCCAACTATTTTTTTCATATTCATTACTTATTTTAAATTTCTCTTGAGAAATAAATGTTTTCAATAATTTTCTTGTTGAAAAAGTTGTTCATAAGTAGAGTTTTACATATGTTTTTCATGATATGTTAGTTTTCGATATGTTTTATCCTAGTGTTGTTCAGTCAATTACAACTGACTGATAGTATGCTGTCAAGGTTGCTGTTAAGTCTAATGATGTGGTATACACTTTAAGAAGGTCATTACATTAGAGAAATAATGATGATTGTCTAGTCATGTCACACTCTTTCTGTGTGTGTGTGTTGTGATTCATTCTACTTGTCATTCAAAGATCGTCTTATTCACCTCTTAGGTAGATTCTATATGTGTTGCCTACCAGCTCGTACATAGAAACAAATTACTCCCAGAAGAGATCTGATTTCCATGTTTCAAGTTGTTTATTTATTGGATAGTTCTATATATTAAAGAATAATATCGATTATAAAGCTTTTCAGAATTGATGTGTAACATCCTAGCTTCTCCTTAGAAGAGTATTTGTGAACACTTCAGTCATTGTTTTCTTTTTTTTGTTTGTTTGTTAAACTTGAACTCTTTCTGTGAATTAGATAGATTGTCGCCTAATACCTTTCAGTTGAGTAATCTGATGAATAACACATTACTGTTTGAAATTGATGAATACTACCACTGCCTTATCGAAATCTTTTTCTTCTCAATCTAGTTTAGTTCTGTCTCTAAGTCATTATTACTGCTACTACTGCCACTGTTACTAATACTGTTATTTTCATTCTGTAGTTTTTATTTCATTTCCTTAAGGTCGACGTCCTTTCGGTTGTGGGCTATGTGGTGCTCGTTTTCGTGAGGCTGTTGAATTACAAAAGCATCGACGTACATTTCATGCAGGTGAATAATAACTGCTATATTTCTCTGCATTAAAATTCATTCTTCTATGAAGTCTATCAATCTCCTCCATCTCTTCGATTTGTTTCATGTTTCTAGAATGCTATTTATACTATCTCTAGATCGTTTAAGCTCTGTATGAACAATACAACTAGATTTCTTGTTGATTAGTAGTTGATCAGTACTGTAATATTGTAGGCAGTTGTTATTGTTGTTTTGCTAACTGACAAGTAATTCACATGTGGATAATTCGATTGTGTATCCATCAATTGTGGTCTAAATAAGCTTAGCGTGGATATGTTGTAGACAATTCAATATGACTAGCCATCTATGCTGACAAGATCCATGAAATAGCCTGTCTAAAAAAAGGTATTTATAAAACTCTTGTGATCGAGAAAATCTTCTTGTAGATCTGTATACTTCCAGATACTTCTCACAATTATTATCATTATTTGTCCCTTGAATATCTAGTGGAGCATAGGGCTTAAGTAGTACGTCGCCATTTCACTCTCTTCACTACAGTCCCTATAACCCACCTCCACAACTGACCATAACCTTTCATTTATTCCTCACACCATCTCCTCAATGTCACCCTCACCTCGGACGCACAACTCGTCGTTTCTCATCTGCCTTCCACTCGACGACCTGCCCTGACGTGTGATGTCACAAAACCATCTCGGTGTACGTCCAATCCATCTGCACTTTCTTCCTCAGAATATTTGTTGAGTAATAGGTTGTTGGTTGTTTCGTCGCCACCCAGCCTGAGTTGCTTGCTCCCATTCTTATTATTCTACGCCACCTGACCTTAAACATAGAGTGAGCGTAGGCGGCAGCTATTGATGTTACCTATATCTGTAATATACTGGAATACTTTCCGTAACGCGCCAAGTCTCTCAACCGTCACAGAGAAGCACTGACTTGACCGGTGGTGTTCAACATCCGGATGTTGTTGACGCTTTATGCTGATTAGAGTGCAGTACAGTGCAGTGCAGAAGATCTCCACACTGACTCCAGACTAATCCAAGAAGGCTTGTCCGCTGTCTTTCCGATGCTCACTTTGACATCCTCATCTGTGCCACCATGTGGAGTTGAAACGATGCTGCCTTGCCCAGGTAGGTGAAAGAGACAACTTCTTCCTTTCGATTTCTCCAGTTCATGGTGCTCGTTGTTGTTGTTGGTAGTGTGGGTGGTGGTGGTGGTGGTGATGGCGGTGGTGGTGGTGGTGGTTGGGTAACTTCATCTGTCACCTCTGTCTTCTTTCTCTACATTCACCTGAAGGAAGTCCCGTCTTCCTTCGCTACCTCACATCTGTTCTGCCAACTTGTTAGTTTTCGGCTGTATAGCTTCGAGTTTATGCGACAACACATTGGACATAAATCACCATCTGCGAAATCCAAATCACCTTCTGGAGTTTTTTATCTGTCCAACCAGCATATGCCCATCTTCTCGCTTCACTTCTCACAATACTCTCTTACTAATCGATTTCTATATCCACTTGAATTCTGTTTCAAATCAATAACGGTAAACAGTTTCCCCAGGTCAGGTATGGTGTTTGCTGAAAAACACATCTATCTTGGGATAAAGATCTTATTTTCTGAAGAGTTGTTCTCTCTCTTTTGTCATGCACAACTTTGTAGGCTAAAAGTGATTATATTTTTTTCCACAATTACACTGACAAACTGTGTTTCTCTCTTTTTCGTGTTAAATATTATGCATCAGTCGTCCGGAAACTCTTGTTCTCGGTTTTGTAGTTTTTGTGGCATTCATCAGCTGTGTGGTGTTATTCGAACTTAGTGTAACATCTAAAGGCTTTTCTTCATCGCTGAGATGAAGAGGTTGCTGAACTCATGTTTGCCATGATAGGTACTTTGAAATGTGTTAGCTTGTGTCACAACAGGATTTAGACCAGTCATGTACAGATTAACGAGTCAACCGTGAATCAACTGATCTGTATCAAGTTTTCATTTCAACCTTCAACTAAATAATCGTCTACCAGTCCACCAGTCAACAGATGGAAGACATAAGAAAGTTTCAGGTGTTTGACCACCGTCACCTTTTGTAACAAAGTCCATATTCCGTGGTGTCACCAAGTGAGTAACACAGAAGTCAGGCTCAAGTGTAGAGTTTTAGAGAGAAGAGGTAAGTCAGTTGACAAGGTTATGAACCTTCATCGACCGAGATAGCTGGTTGGGATATGTGTTGTGTTGTGTATGCCTAGTCACCGTCTTCCTCGTCTCACAATGTTGGCGGAATTAGGTCGAGCCTGGAAAAAGACCCGAGGTGGACAGACTAAAACATGACATCAATGTATGAAGTGTTTGACTGTCGGTTTGAGCGCTGTGGAGTGATGCAGACTAGCCCATTGCGGTCCATGGGACAAAAAGAACCAGTGGTTTTAGACTGACTGCAGGTGATCATATGCCTCAGAACCGATGTGAGTATCACAGATGTATACACATGCACATACACATTATCCTCATCTTAACTACACTAACTATACCGAATCTCACCATTTTCTCATTCTTCCTTTGTCTTTGTTAGTACTTTATATTTGTTTTGAGTGGATTTTGTTTCCTTCATGTTCCACTTGACTGTCTTGTTTACTTGATGTGGTGATATGAGATGTGGGAAGTTGGACCGTTGCGTAGTAATGGAGTAATGTTTTAAGACTACTGGTGTTGTTATCTGTATTGTTTTCATGACCGTTATCTTTGTACTTCATTATTACCGGTGGAAAACTTTGGCACTTTGTAGGTGTGTATTCGGTTGTTATACTCAGCCTTTGGTTATTTACACCTATTTGTCTATTGGTGTGATGATTAAACAATATACCATTGTTTGACCATTGATGCTTTACATAAACTTATCAGCTTGTTTGTGAATAGTACACCTATTGTTTGAGTAGTTACATTACTGTGGAGTGGAGTAAGCAGTCTTTATCCCAGTTTGAACACTTCAGTAGTACTTACTGATGACTACATACCAGATGTGTTTACTCAGGGATCATCAACTCTAACGGAAAGCTCATTAACATTCAGGTACTGGTTTTGAGTTCCGTAGTTGGTATTTCCACCTTCTATCATTTTCCGGTATAACGTGACTTTTTCCAACTAAAGTTGACCTTAGCTAACATTAGTGTACCCAGCTTGTGTAATGTTTACCTCCAGTACAGTTTCACAGCAATAACAACAATAACTACCTGTCGAGGTTTCTACAGTCAGGTAGTATACAATGATTGTGGGTTTATTGGCTATTGTATATTGTAGAAATTTATCTACTCCAAATTATGCCTCTTGTTCAGCATCTTGTCCTCGTCTTCTGTTGTATCTTGAAATTATTACATGTTGGTAGTTTAATCATGATTCTCATGATCAGTCAAAATAGATTTCCTCTAAAACTCATCATATTGAATGTTTTTGCGTATTTTTAAGTTCAAAAATACTGGAACTAAACAGCAGTATAAGTGACTTCGTTGTGGCTAGCCTAGCAATGAAATCCAGGATGCGCGTTTTATCCTATTTGAGACTTGTCAAGTAGATATACCTGCATCCCATTGAGTAATGTTATTCCCGTTAAGACTAAAACTTCGTAATCATCACTTCAAACGCTAACGCGTTATCCACTAATGCACAACATCCAACTGGTATTAGTTGTACAAGAGATGGCTATCGTGTCTAAATAACCCAATGGATAACGCTTTGGCGTTTGATGCGATGAGTACAAGGTTCGAGTCCAAGTGAGAATGACATTACCCACTTCAACGCAGGTAAGTCCATCTGAAAAGTTTGAAATAGGATGAAACGCGCCTTCAGAATCCCGTTGCTAGGCATAACTAAGCCATTGTATGACAATAAATATTCGGGTAATGTTGCGAGGCATTCGCTGAGGAGCCCATCTGCCAACTGAGGTTGATCTAGTATAACAACGGTGAATTACAAGTATATCAGGAGAGATAATATGGGGAAATAGACTTTAAGTTGTATGGGAGGTATATTTTTTGTGTAAATTGATAACACCTTCAACAACGTCGACCCAGAAGTAATTTGGCAACTGCTTCAACACTGCGGAGTACCACAAACCTTTACCAACCTCATTCAACAACTATATGACGTCACTAACTGCCAAGTGATTCAAAATGGAAAGCTCAGTGACGCCTTTGAAATGAAGACAGGAGTAAGACAAGGTTGCCACTTACTATCACCGATGGTCTTCCTGATTGTGGTTGACTGAACTGGATCACGCAACAGATAACTGTGAGGAGGGAGAAGATGGGCATGCGCTACTTGACCGATGAAAAGACCCTAGAAGATTTGGATTTCGCTCGTGATGATTTATGTCTAATGTCTTGTTGCACAAACTCGAAGATCTACAGTCAAAAACCGACAAGTTGGCACACGAGGTAGGGCAGCTAAGATGGGACTTCGAGTGATCTTAGAGAAGACGGAGGTGATGAAGATACCCAACCACCACCATGAACAATGACAAGCACCAATCACCGTCAACGAGAAAAATCTAAACAAAGTTGTCTCTTTTCGCTACATAGGCAAGGCAGCATCGTCCCAACTACAGGCGGCGGCACAGATGAGGATGTCAAAGCCAGGATCGCAAGAACACCAAGACAGACCTTCCTTCATTAATCTGAAATCAGTGTGGAGATCTACTGCACTGCACTTAGCATAAAGCATGAACAATACCTGGATTTTCAACACTAATGTCAGTCATATCAGTGCTTCTATGTGATGGTTGAGAGACTTGGCGGCGCGTCACGAAAAGCATTTTCTAACCCTAACTACAGACATACATCACCTCAACAGCTGCCGCCAACGCTCACTTGATGCTGACACTGAAGATCAGATAGCCAGAATAATAAGAACAAGCAACAAGAGACTCTGGCTGGCAGTGAACCAACCAACAAACCATCGTTTAAAAAACATGCAGGAGAAGAAAGTGGAGATCGATTGGATTGGATTGGATTGCACATATACTGAGAAGACCAATTTCGGACATCATGCGCCAGGCCATACCCTCGAGTTGAAGGCAAATAGGAAACAACGAATTGGGCGTGGGAGAGTAACATGCAGGAGATTGTATCAGGAAGAAATGAAAGCTTATGTGCAGCCGTATGGCCAGGTTAAGAAGACTTCAGAGACGTGCTACTGATGCCTTATGTTTCACTAGGAACCGAAGGGACAAATAATAATAATAATAATCATAGTAAGTATCACTAAGCTATGACTTAAGTAATTTTACATTATATTTCTATAGTTTATTTGTTTGTTAACTGTAGTGATTAGGTCGTTAAAAAGTGTTACTGATTATTGTCAGTGGATCTTTCAACGGTTCTAGATAAATCTTACCAACCAACAGCTTCAAAATGCATAATTTAATTGTTTGAGTGTGTTTAAGATCCGTAACGTGCTTCCAAGTTTTACAATGCTCAAATATAGTTCCATGGTACACTATGGTTTTCAAATCGAATTGGGACGCTTTTTTTACTACAGTGTTGCAGGTGACTTTAAAGCCCACCCTCACAACCGCTGAGACAACTAATCACCCTTTAGTATTCCAGGTAGTAAGGTACTTTTTCACAAAATAGAGAAATGCGATTGGCTCTCTCAGCAAGTTAACAGGGTGGTTTTTAAAGTCACTTCAATCTTACACTTCATAAATTTAAAAAAAAAATCTACATTGTGTATTTTTTCCCTCTTTTCCTCAGGTGAAATAAGTTACAACTGTGGTATTTGTGGAATCGCCTTTCAAAGTGCTGCAGATATACGTCAGCATAGAGCTACTGTTCATGACGGTAAGTTTCCTAAGTGTATTGTTTGTATTTACACCTTATTCAAGGAGTGACTTTAAAAGCCACCCTGGCAACTATTGAGATAACCAATCATGTGTCTTTTTTTATTATGAAAAAAATGCGTTTCTGGCCGGGATAGCAAAACCTGATTGGTTAGGGTTAGGGTGGACTTTTAAAGTCACCCCGCAGGGACCATACTTCAGCTTTCAATGGATGATGTAAACATCACGAAATTGTTCAGTTTCTGTTCGACTGTATCAATCATGTCTCTAGTTCATAAAATCAAATCAACTGCCCATTATTCTACTGCGCTTTGCTAAATAATGCGATCGGTAAGTTTTTGGTGTCCTTTATTCAACCCCTCGGTCTTCAACATCATCATTAATATCAACATAGAACCAGGCATTCCTGTGTAACGGTCTGAGTTGCCGCAGATCATATCAGTACATCGAGTAGAAACGTAGTGAGGTGAAAGATGAACAAAAGAAAATTCACTTGAAACGAATATTAAGTACTAAAGAGAGAAAGGAAGAACGAGAAAATGATGAAATGCGGTATAGCGTACTTAAGGTGAGGATAATGTATGTAGGTGTATACATCTGTGCCACTCATATCGGTTCTGAGGCATATGATCACCTACAATCAGTCTAAAACCAATGGTTCTTCTTGTCCCATGGACCGCAATGGGCTAGTCTGCATCACTCCACAGCGCTCAAACCGACAGTCAAACACTTCATACACTGATGACATGCTTTAATCTGGCCGACAGCCAACAGTCTTTTCCCAACCTCAACCTACTTCCGCCAACATTGTGAGACGAGGAAGACGGTGACTAGGCATACGTAACACAACACATATCCCAACCAGCTATCTCAGTCGATGAAGGTTCATAACCTTGTCAACTGACTTACCTCTTCTCTCTAAAACTCTACATTTGAGCCTGACTTCTGTGTTACTCATGTGGTAACACCACGGAATATGGACTTTGTTACGAAGGTGCTGGTGGTCAAATACCTGTAGCCTTCTCATGTCTTCCACCTTTAATGGCCATGTTTCACAGCCATACAACCCCTCGGTCTTAAAATAATCTCGTTAAGTGGCACACCCTAACGTCACTGTCCACCATTTTCTGAGATGTGACTTTAAAGGTTACCTAACAACTACCTAAATAACTAGATAGGTTTCAATATTTCTGCTCGGAAGGTAGTTCTTCATAGAATAGAGAAACATTATTGATAATCTCGTCAATTGTTAAGTCGGCCTGTAGAGTCATTCGACTGTACATACAGTTGATCCACTTGATTGATACAGGCCGCAAAGATTGAGTATTATTTGATATAGTGTAAAAAAGAATGACCACAGTTTATTACCCATAAGCTAATCAGACTTAGTCCCACAACTTCTGAAAACTGGTTTCCTTACAGTTCTGATATTTGTCAGTCTTTGGTTTCAACTGTAATAGAATTCTTCATGTCTCCCGAATGGAGGTTGCATCGTTCCTATTCCATGTATTGGGTATTGGTTCGCTTGTAGTGGGCGCTGCCGATCAGAATGAATATGAGCAGTATGTGTTTAGAGGGCAGTAGAAACCGGGAAATATCAGCAGTGGGTAAAGATTCTCTCTAGATAAACGCAACAGATAATACGGGCGTACAGTATTTGATGACTGCTGTACAAGATGTCAATAATAAATATTCCTTCCTCTGTCTCCGTCTCATCGTTTCTACAATAAGTGTCGCTGAATCTGGACGTGATGAAGATTCTGTGGCCTGCAGTGTTCAAGGATGGTGACATCAAGGCCTTCCTCAAGGAGTTTGAATCAGTCGCGGAGCTGGTAGGTGTCCGGAATCCATGAACGAAGGTTTTAGTGCTTGGCACATTGCTGTGGGATAGAGCGAAAACAGCACACGACGACGTGAAACATGTGGATGAGAAATAGACTTGGGAGAGAGTGGTTTAATGCTTGTAGGCGGAGTTTGACAGCTCAGCGGATTGCGAGTTGGCTGTGCAGCAGTTTCAGAGCATGAAACCCAGAATAGATGTATATCGGCTGGTAATTCCCTCTCAACATACATTTAAACAGTTTAAGTCTGTGTATATGCATAAACAAACTATAATGGGAGACTGTCAAGTAGTCAAAGACATTCCTACTCATAGAAGAATGAAAAAAAATGAAATGAGGAGTTGCATTAACTGGCTTGGTTCATCAATCCAAATCAACATAGGACCAGGCATTACTGCGTAACGGTCCAACTTGCCACATCTCATATCACCACATCAAGCAAACAAGACAGTCAAGTGGAACATGAAGAAAAGAAAATTCACTCAAAACAAATATAAAGTACTAACAGAGAGAAAGGAGGAATGAGGAAATGGTGAGATTCGGTATAGTTAGTGTAGTTAAGATGAGGATAATGTGTATGTGCATGTGTATACATCTGTGATACTCACATCGGTTCTGAGGCATATGATCACCTACAGTCAGTCTAAAACCACTCACTTCTCTTTTCCCTCTGACCCCAATCAACTAGTTTGCATCGCCCAATATGCCTCAAACCAAAAGTCAAACACTTCATACATTGATGTCATGCTTTAATATGGCCGACAGCCAACAGTCTTTTCCCAACCTCAACCTACTTCCGCCAACATTGTGAGACGAGGAAGACGGTGACTAGGCATACATAACACAACACGTATCCCAACCAGCTATCTCAGTCGATGAAGGTTCATAACCTTGTCAACTGACTTACCTCTTCTCTCTAAAACTCTACATTTGAGCCTGACTTCTGTGTTACTCACGTGGTGACACCACGGAATATGGACTTTGTTACAAAGGTGACGGTGGTCAAACACCTGGAACTTTCTTATGTCTTCCATCTGTTGACTGGTAGACGATTATTTAGTTGAAGGTTGAAATGAAAACTCGATACATATCAGTTGATTCACGGTTGACTCGTTAATCTGTACATGACTGGTCTAAATCCTGTTGTGACACAAGCTAACACATTTCAAAGTACCTATCATGGCAAACATGAGTTCAGCAACCTCTTCATCTCAGCGATGAAGAAAAGCCTTTAAATGTTACACTAAGTTCGAATAACACCACACAGCTGATGAATGCCACAAAAACTACAAAACCCAGATCAAGAGTTTCCGGACGACTGATGCATAATATTTAACACGAAAAGGAGAGAAACACAGTTTGTCAGTGTAATTGTGGAAAAAAATATAATCACTTTTAGCCTACAAAGTTGTGCATGACAAAAGAGAGAGAACATCTCTTCAGAAAATAAGATCTTTATCCCAAGATAGATGTGTTTTTCAGCAAACACCATACCTGACCTGGGGAAACTGTTTACCGTTATTGATTTGAAACAGAATTCAAGTGGATATAGAAATCGATTAGTAAGAGAGTATTGTGAGAAGTGAAGCGAGAAGATGGGCATATGCTGGTTGGACAGATAAAAAACTCCAGAAGGTGATTTGGATTTCACAGATGGTGATTTATGTCCAATGTGTTGTCTCATGAACTCGAAGATATACAGCCGAAAACTAACAAGTTGGCAGGACAGATGTGAGGTAGCGAAGGAAGACGGGACTTCCTTCAGGTGAAGGTAGAGAAAGAAGACAGAGGTGACAGATGAAGTTACCCAACCACCACCACCGCCATCACCACCACCACCACCACCCACACTACCAACAACAACAACGAGCACCATGAACTGGAGAAATCGAAAGGAAGAAGTTGTCTCTTTCACCTACCTAGGCAAGGTAGCATCGTTTCAACTCCACACGGTGGCACAGATGAGGATGTCAAAGTGAGCATTGGAAAGATAGCGGGACAAGCCTTCTTGGATTAGTCTGGAGTCAGTGTGGAGATCTTCTGCACTGCACTGTACTGCACTCTAATCAGCATAAAGCGTCAACAACATCCGGATGTTGAACACCAACGGTCAAGTCAGTGCTTCTCTGTGACGGTTGAGAGACTTGGCGCGTTACGAAAACATTGCGAATAAATTGCTGACATTCATCAACAGCTGCCTACTCTGGTTCATTTCTTAAGGTCAGGTGCGCTGAATAATAGTAAGAAGAAGGAAGGTGCTCTGGCAACGAACTAACCAGGAACCTATCAGCGAACGTATATGTATTGGAAGAAAGTGAAGTTGGATTGGGCATATGCGGAGAAGGCCGATTCGGCATCACGCCCCAGACCAGGCCTTTGTAGTAGAATCCAAAGGGTAACCGCGAGTTGTGCGTCCGAGGTGAGGGTGGCATGGATGAGATCAGATGAAGAAGAAATGAAAGCTTGTAGACAGTAGTAAACCGAGGTAAAAAAGACTTGAGGGAAGATAGTGCGATGGTTTCTTGCTACTGAAGCCCGAGGGGAAAATGTTAATATAATAACCAATCATTTAGCTCAAATGTTGTTGTCACGTTGTTTACTTATTATCCTCAGAAACTATATTTTATTTTTAACATTTTCTGCGTCTTTCCCAACTTTTTATTCACAAGATGACTTCTTTTTTTTACCGTTTTCAAGGCTACTATTATGTACGTCGACAATACTTTTAATGTTGTGTCATAGTTCTCAGCTTCAGACCAGATCAGATGCATATGTATTCTGAAGTGCTTTTTTCTCTGTTAACTGAGACAGCATTGAAGTCCTATGTTTTGAACGGTCTTGTTCTTCTACTGGTTTCATTCTGTTTTCGGGATAATGAAGTCATTAATGTCTGATATTGAGTTTGCAGGAAGCTATTTCGATAAAATTTCAACCAATTGGTAGAATGTATTAGATTTGATATGATTTTGTGCACTCAACGGAAGTTCCTTGCTAAATCTTATGCCTTTTTACCGATCATCAACGCTTCGGAAACTCGTATCGATCCATACTTCAACTGAAATTATGAGTAATTATCTTGTTCTCTATTCCCTATTGTCTAGTTCTTGACAATCAACAAATGTTACGCTTAACTTCATCATACCTCTGGTCTTAATATGCATTTATGTCTCTATCAACAGTTATGATTTTATTTCGTTTCTCCGGTAAACAACAGTGTTATGTTCGACGGTAAATGCAGCTGGATCCAACTAGTAGAAAGTCTTTAGTCCATATTTAGTGCTGGTTAGCACTTCTCGGGAGGGATATTTGTAACTTCCATAGAAATGATGTTACAGAAAAGTTCCAGTGTTAGATTCAGAGAAGCTACCACTGAACCATTCGGCACCACGATGAGTCTTTTATTCAACTGGATTTTCTTCTTCCTCTCCTTCTTCTTAATATTGTTATCAAACACAAACATCGTACAACAAGGGCACCAAGAAATGCGCCATACAAAATAGTATAACAGCCTTATGAACACATAAACGATGGGCAGTGGATAAGTAAGAAAAACAGTAAGGATAACATGATAAGAAGGGCAGTTCAGTGTAAGATACATTCAAAAGAAGACATTCATTACTTTTCACCAACAGAAGACAGAAGGAAGCTACGGCAAGACTGACACTGGTCTCCGTTCTGAGCCATATCTGATAACGTTTCAAGTCACTGAGTTGGCCGATCACTCAGACTCCACGCAGAGGGTTGTGATACACCTACAAATGCTAACCCGATATGACTATCCTTCATCCCACAGTGTCACATCATACACTGACCACGTTTCCGTTTCTACCATGCATTCCTAGGTTTTGCAAACAATGAACAGATTAGAAGCCGTCGAGACGACATGTGTACCACATGTTCAAGCCACTAAAGCCGGTGTTTCCAAATGACTTCGCTTATTGAATCATGATCTCCATCATACCCAAACACACACTGTCCCACCACAAAATTACTTACATACTGTTGCCACTGGTTACGACAAGTCTTACGAAGAAAACGATGATATGACACACAGTCGTCTCATCTTCAGCTCAGAGACACCAGGTTTCACAGGTGTAGAGCAGAACTGCTGTCACCCAATATTTTACCGTCAGACTAAGGTAGCGATTCAACCAAAGGTGGCCCAGATTGGTGTATACCACTCTGGCTTCTGATGTGCGGTTGAAAATTTCATCATTCACACCTCGACCAGTACTCACACAACTACTCAGATACACGAACTTTTTGACCACTTCCAACGGGGTGAGCGAAGGCACAGGCTCGTGTCAATTTTCCAGAAGTACTTTACACTTCGATGATGCTAAGTACATAGTATGCTCACGGACAGTAATGGCCAACTGATTAAATGCGATATGATTAGCCTGTATGTTATTGTAGAGAAAAAATTAACTTTCGTTACTTATCTCTGATCTTGTCTTGAAAGTGAACTGTTCAATTGAATATTTCTTTTTTCGGTTTTCAGCTGAAAGATCACATGCCTGTGATATTTGTGGGAAGCGTTTTGGTCAAGCGAGTAAACTGCTTCATCATAAATCTGCTGTTCATGAAGGTTAGTTAATATTAGATTCTACTAATCAAGATTTATTCGATAATTTTGTTGTGTTTGAAAAGGCGAAGAGCAATAATGGAAGTGGAATGAACTGGATCCATTCTATTTTTTAAAAATTAATCTTTAATCTATGCTAATGTTTGGGAGGCGTTTCTCACCGCCCAAATGCAAACTGTTCCTGTATCACTGATCTTCAACCGTACCCTGGCTAACAATGGAGTGTGTAGTGGTTGAGTGTGTCGACGATGAAATCCCTGCACGAATACAAAAGGCTCGGTTGGCTTTTGCCAACTCATACCACCTGTAGCGCCTCCGTGATATCCGGTTGTTTATTAAGGGTCGTGTGTACCCTGTTCTACTGTATAGCTGTGAAACATGGCCATTAAAGGTGGAAGACATGAGAAGGCTACAGGTGTTTGACCACAGTCACCTTGGTAACAAAGGCCATATTCCATGGTGTCACCACGTGAGTAACACAGAAGTCAGGGTCAAGTGTAGAGTTTTAGAGAGAAGAGGTAAGTCAGTTGACAAGGTTATGAACCTTCATCGACTGAGATAGGTGGTTGGGATACGTGTTGTGTTATGTATGCCTAGTCACCGTCTTCCTCGTCTCACAATGTTGGCGGAAGTAGGTTGAGGTTGGGAAAAGACTGTTGGCTGTCGGCCATATTAAAGCATGTCATCAGTGTATGAAGTGTTTGACTGTTGGTTTGAGCCATATGGGGCGATGCAAACTGGTTGATTTGGGTTCGTGGGAAAAGAGAAGTCATTGGTTTTTGGACTGACTGTAGGTGATCATATGCCTCAGATCCGATGTGAGTATCACAGATGTATATACACACACACACACTATCCTTATCTTAACTACACTAACTATAGCGAATCTCACCATTTTCTCATTCTTCCTTTCTCTCTGTTAGTACTTTATATTTGTTTTGAGTGAATTTTCTTTTCTTCATGTTCCACTTGACTGTCTTGTTTGCTTGATGTGGTGATATGAGATGTGGGAAGTTGGACCATTACGTAGTTATGCCTGATGCTTGTTGATGGATGATGGTGATGAATCTAAGCTAAACAGTAACGGATATCCTGTTCTCTTTCAAGGAGTCAACGTTCGAAGCAATCGATGAGATATTACCGAAATGAATTGGATCTGTTTTATCCTGCTTCTGTTGTTGTTTTTATTCTTTTGAAATGTTGATAACGAGGAACTCATTTATAGATATTGTGTGTTTATTACCATGAATTTATTACCTAAGGTGTTTAGAAGACTGAGATATATAAACCTACAAAAACGTTGTCGAATGTTACCTCTTTGAGTTGGAATGCTTTATTTGGAAGAGTCATCCCAACGGCTTCGACGCCATCCATTGTTTGCTAACCCTGGGATTGAATGGAAAAAGCGAAGGCGTGGTCAGTTTATGACGTGACACTGTAGCATGAAGAATAGTTGTACTGGGTTATCATCTGTTGTTGCATCACGACTCTGGGTGGGGTCCGAGGTCAGGCAACTCAGACTATAGACGTTATCAGATTTAGCTGAGAATGCGGACCAGTTGCGGTCATGTTGTAGCTTTTTCCTATCGTCTGCTACTGGAGAGTAATGAATGTTTCGTTCCGAATGTACCTTACTGGACTGCTATTTCTACTGTGTTTTTCATTTTTATTCACTTCCCTTCACTTTATGTTTTGACGGTGTTATATTATTTTGTACGGTGCATTTTTTGGCGCCGTTGCTGTACCCGCGTTTTTGTTCTAAGCGAGAACTGTGTAGTAGACAGAGTAAACAATTATGACAGACTCAGATTGAAGTGAAATTGTAAGTAGATTTACGCACCGTCTGAGGGCTGCAATCACGAGTTTTATTTATTTAAAAGTCACATCAAGGATTGTTATCTTTTCCTCTGTGTTTTACCTGCCTGATAAAGACGGGTTCTTTCAATGGTTTAGTCTGACTGTCTTTCAACTAAAATCAATAATTATTTAGCAGGTCTATTGAAACGATTTGTTTGTTTAGGATGTACAATTCGCACACTCCATCGTGACATCGCTTACAGCTGAGAGTAGTTTTTTCAACTATCCAGCTGTTGTGTCAACAGTTAGTTTTCCATTTGAAAATCATCATACAACCTAGATCAGATGATGTGATCTTTGATACAAAAGATCATGAACTAGCGAAATATACTACTTCTGAATAACTTAAGTAGTTAGAAACCTCATAAGTCGATTTATAAATTTCACTAGAGTCATTAGTGTGATGTAACCATTGGACGGTCATTTCCAGCGTCTAGGATCGACCTCGTCAATTGTGTATCATATTTATAGCAGTCTTTATTATTTTACAACCTATAAAATACTATTGTCATTCCTTTTGTAAGTTTTTTCCCTGCTCTTTTCTATTTCTTTTCGAAACAAACAATTAATAATCAGGCAAGCGTCCACATCTCTGTGATGTTTGTGGTGCTCGTTTCACACAACGTGCTCATCTCAAACAGCATAGAACTACAGTCCATGAAGGTATGTTTATTACTACTCTTTTTTTGTTTGTTGATAAGTATGCTTTTTTCTCGTTTTTCTTTCCATTGTATACTGTTTGTCAAAAAAGTTATTACACCGGTTTCATTTGAGAATACAGTGATTATCGTGATATCGTATAAGTTCTTCATCTATTCCTATTTATTGATATACTTGTAATTCTCCCTTATTTTTTTATTGGATCGAATTGTTCGACCTTTATTGATATTTGGACTCCTATACGGATGCCTTGATATTAACTGAGTGTTAATTACGGTAATTTACTTACTTTTGGCTGGACTGCGACCGGATTCGAACCAGCCTCTTTTTACCCGACTATCCCATGTGAATTCGTGACACATTACTACAGCTTGCTGGTATTCACACTGGCTGCCTAGTCAGGACTTCTTACCCCAATCGAAATGTAAGTGGATTAGAATGAGAGGGGAAGGATCATATTGATTATCATTAAACTATGTGAGACAGCCACTGTCTTTTGGTAGACTATTTATACTGGGTGATGATTAAACGTGGAATGAAAATTCGAACAGCGGCCGGATGCAAACCAGCGGCCATCGGGTTTCCGGCCCGATGGTCGGTGTTTAAAAATATGCCTGAACCCCGACACTTCAATCTCGTCATCTAATACTCATGATATCGATTGATTAAATCTATTCAGATGGATTTGCTTAGTTGATCAGAAAACTAAGCTATGATTATATGACGAATGTTGGTTGTTGTTCTTGGTTATAGTAGAAGGCTGATACTAACAAGGCTGAGCAAACACAAACACTTCAATAGTATACTGGCTAGTTGTATATAAAAAACAGGTGAAATATTCGAGGATTGTGATGGTTATAATTTTTTCAGAGTTTTCCAGGTTTTAAAGAAAGTTTATTGATGAATTCAGTTCTGATGAGATCAGCTGACGTAATGGTGGAACTGTCACGTTTATTGATTGATTCAACTAGTACTTTTGAGATAATCATCACTTCAACAGCTATGAAGTTAGTGATTGTAAGTAGTCAGATTAAACATCTTGTTCATCAGTGCTTTTGATAACATTTTCACTTTCACACTTTCTTGTTTGCACCGCCTAAAGTTGTGTTTCGGTAATCTTATCACTTAATTTCACTCAGTAGATGTGATAGGTTCGAACTGAGTTCCACCTACTGAAAACTGAGCAGTTAGGTATTATTAATAGGCGTCAAACAATGAACATTAATAATTTGCTATATCAGGTTAATGGATAAAGGTGGTACTGTTCCATGCTCTGAGGCTCACAGCTTTGTTTGGATCAATCATTAAGGACGAAATTTATTTGGTGATCTGATTGCATGAAATAGCCATTTGTACCAGTTTATTCGTTATATATTACGAGTCAGTCAGTATAGAAAGTCGTGCGTGATCTAAGCATCAATTTTGTCAACACTCCCTTGGAGGTCTATCTGGAATTTTTAACTATAAAAAGGTCTGTTCCCCTGGAGATTTGATATGTGATGAACAAACTTCAAATTGTATTAGGAAATTAACAGTTGAGCTTCAATCAGTCGACGATAAGTTCAAACTTGACCCCATCCATCGGTATTTGAATATGGTAGGTAGGTAGTATCTCTCACATAAAAGTATCGATAGTTGTTGAGTTGCACGTAGTTCAACCCTAGAAATAATCAGTTATACCCAAATAGCTTTGTGATAAAGGTCCTCGATTTCATTACTGAATGGTAAGTGTTTGAATCATTGGGAGACCTTGGTTCCCCTAAGGGTTATATATATATATATATATACCTTTTGGAACACTACTGCAAGCTGAGTCAAGTAAGGTTTTCTGCTTATTGACTTCTGATTGGCAGTTTAATCTCAGGGAGTATTTTATGACTTGCCTTTATTAGTCACACTGAAGATTGGATGGGAGGATTTCGATTAGCACTTAGGATGTAACAGCCACATCAGGTTATCAACCATTGATCGATTTGTATACGTCTGTTTCCTTGATCCAACTTTAGTCTCGCAGCATTTTTTACCAGTTTTTTTCTAATCATCTGATAGGTTTTCCATCTTCCTGTGTTCTTCGTCAATTGATTATTTCATCATACTTTGATTATAGTTCACAATATCATCGTTATATACACACTTCTCTGTTATCAATCTCTTGTGTGTTTTTTTTTGTTGCTACAGGCAGAAAACCGTATCAGTGCAACTTTTGTCAACGACGTTTCACTCAACCTGGTCACGTTCGTGTTCATAAGTGTGTTGTAGACCAAGGTACGCGATTTCCTACTTCTATTCCAGTTTGATTTTTTACCTTATTTATATACGTGTTGGTGGAGTAACTGGATTAGTTACACCGTATTTATTGGTGATCAAATGTTCGTGATGATTTCATTGCTTAGCTTCATAATTGTGTGAGAACATTTGACTCGATGTAGTGTATAAGTTGATCTTTCCAAGGATCATGACAACAAGATTCAAATCAAAAGGAAGGAAAATCACAATCACACAATGCCAATACTACGCATTTACAAATAATGAAGACCAAGAGAACAGAAGACCCCAGATGGCGACATCAAAATTCTAGTGGGTGGGGTGACATGAATGCCAAACTCGGAGCGGACAACACATAGAGAGAACCAATCATGAATCGAGAAACATTTTGGTTAATTGAACGAGAATGGAGAACTGTTTGCAGATTTTTGCGCATTCAACGATTTGGTGATTGGAAGCAGTGTGTACAAACACAAGGATATTCACAAAGCGAGCGATATGGATTTGATTTCTCCAGGACACACTAAAAATCAGGTCGACTTCATCTCAGTGTGGAGAAAGTGGAGACGCAGCCTACCGGACACAAGGTCAGATCAAGAAGAGGAGCAGATGTATGTGGATCAGATCACTATATAGTGCAAGGAACCTACCTTCCAAATCAAATTTAAAGCCTTCAGAGAAGTTGGTGATAGACCACAGTTCAAGCTGAACACCGAGGACAGAAATTGAAGAACGAAACTACAAAGGACATCTTCACGTCAGTTAGTCAACAGGAAAAAATGCGAGACATTAAGAAACAGGACAAGGAATGGATCTCGACGAACGCATGGAAGCTGATAAAGGAGGAAGAGATCAACGCAGCAATGATGAAAGATAGTGGACGAAACCTAGTTCCGAAAGAGAAGAAACAATGGGCTGGCCACTTCAGGAAACTCTTGAATCAACCACCACCCGCAACTGGTTCGGAAATAGCACCAGCGACCCAGCCACAGAACTGCCAGTGAACACAAGCCCTCCAACAAAAGCAGGAGTGAAGTCCTGAACGCCATAAAGTTGCTGAAATCCGGGAAAGCAGCAGGACCAGATGGAATTCCGTTAAAAGTACTGAAAACAGACTCAAAAACAACAGCAGCATCCTCATACCACTACTGCAGAAGGTTTGGTAGGAAGAAAGGGAAGGTACCTGCCTATTGATTGGAAGAAGAGCTATTTTGTCAGACTTCGAAAGAAGGGAGACCTAGGTGCTTTCAAGAACTGGCGCGGAATCATGCTACTATCCACCTCTAGCAAAATATTAGTCCATTCACGTCTTAAGTCTTTTCATTCGAAATTTATTTCATATTACCCTGCAGGATGAAGAAGATCGTGATTAGGCATCCGTAGGACATTTCTCAGTTCTATGATTCGACAAAAAGCTGCATAACCTTATCAATAAACGTTCCTTTTCTATCTTAAGCCCTTATTTGACGTCTACGTTATTGATATGGTGGCATCACGATATACTGTTTACGCTACGAAGACAACAATGGTTGAAGATCTGAAGCGTTTCAATGTCCTATGCCTTCAAAAGCCATGTTTCATAGTTAGATAATGGAACGGAGCGAAGTGTAGCATATTGCACTCGATTCCTAATATGACGGTGACATTATGAATGGCGAACGAAATCTGGCGAAAACCAAGCAAACGTTTTGTTTCTTTACTGAGATACGTTCATGCTTGGATGATTTGAACAACATCATCAATATCAAAATATGACCAACGATTTAAGTTTCGGTTTCTTAAATCAGCTCACCAAGTAACAAAGCAGTAAGATGAAAAGACAGAAAAATCGGTCGAAAGCAATAAATGAGAGGAAAGTAGAATGATCAAATATTGAATTCACTATGGCAAGTAAGATGACAATGAGCCATTTCACCTAAAGTCTTCATCCACTGGTTTTTCTTTTGTCACTTAAACTACAACCGGTTAGTGTACATCTAATGTAGCTCAGATCAACAGTCAAGGACTTCACACAACTGTTCGATGGCCGCTCCAAGCCTTTTCCAGCTTGAACATCCTGGAGGTAACATTGCACGACAAGGCAGATGGTAACTAGGCATATCTTCCCAGTCGATGAAGATTCACAACCATATTAACTGACTTTTTTCTCCTCTGTTAGACTCTACACTTGATTTCTGTATTACTGATGTGGTGACACTACAACACACGGCCTTTACTACGAAGTCAGCGTGATCAAACACCAGAAGCTTTCTCAAGTCCTCTCCCTTTAATTTAGTTGCTATGTTATAAAGCCATACACATAATCAATGGAATATTTCAGCAGTCCCATCGACGGTGTTAGTTAGCCAAAGCCAGTCGAGCCTTTTACACTTGAGAAAAGATTTGTCGACCACTGACATACCATGTATGATCTGACTTCTCAGATAAGTGAAGCGATCATTACACTCAATTACTTCACTCTTTATTGTTACCTAGGACACCACTGAAGACCATTTCTAGAGCAACAGTTTCCATTCGGATGGCACTTTCTCAAATTACTATTCAAGGTGTCCAGAAGACTCTGCACCAGATATCGTTAGTCTAATAATTGATCTGGAAGTTTCTTCATTGTATTCCTTCTACATCTGAAATAGTTCGATGTTAAAAAAAATAAGCTTTATGATTTTTATCCGTCTAAATTGGATGTTATTTACTTACATTTATGAAATTTGTTGATTGAAAGGTTCGTTCATTTTGGTTGATGAACAAATGTCGACCAACCATAAGAATAAACAGCCACAACGTTGGACAGAAGAAAAAAAAAACTACTGATAGTAGCATGAGAACCATCAATAGTAGCACAGTTTACGTAGTGGACTATTCACATGCTATTTTATCCACACAAGGTATTAAATCACTTCCAGCGAAAGATAGAAGCTTGATTTGTGTAATACTGTCTAAATAATATCATCGCCAGCAATTATTTTCTCTTCATTAAGGTATTTCTTGTCTACCTCGATATGTCATGGTACTAGATGTTGAATTATGTTGAATTGAGGGTTCAAGGTGGCCAGACCAAGACCTTGCACCAGTCTGTAGGAATCTGGGAGAACTGGACAGCTGTTTCGTCCTAGTATGGGACTGCTCAACATTGCGCACTCATGACCCCCCTGGAGATCGAACCCAGCCAAGTATAGCCATCAGTTAATCAAAGATTAATAAGAAAGGTTTATAGGTATCTGATGTAGGGCATCAATATTCACCTACTCGTGTAAACGCTAATTGCTCAGAGATTTTACGTGTAATAAAAAGATCATCATCCCTCTTTCCCTCCCCCTCACTCCCTCTATTACTCACTGTCTCATTGTTCGTTTGTTTGTTTTATTCTTCCTGAAGGCTTCAAGCGTCATCCTTGTGATATATGCGGTAAACAATTTACGCAATCGGGTACATTAAAAAAGCATATAGCTGGTGTACATGAAAGTAAGCCTGTTAATTACTATATCCTATATGAACATATATATATATATATATATATATATATATATATATATATATATATATATATATATATACCTGACCAATCATTTCTCCTTTTTTTTTTAAACTTCGTGATTTATAGTTGAGTTGTTAGGTATCACTGATTTATGTAATGGACTTGCTCGTGATGTAGGAATCTTCTGTGTGATTAGAGTCTATAATTCTTTCTGTCTTAAGACCTATAAGTGTACCAGATAGACAGCCTCTGATATTACACCATTCTCTGATATGAGTCCTTGAATTAAAAGAGATTCAAGAAGATAGTTAAATATCTTCCCAACATAAATGCTTCGGTAATTCATGATAGTTTTTTGATGAACAAAATACATTGGTGTATTCGAATTGTATCCCTATTGGAGTTTTGTTTATTTGATGACTAACATACAGTATTATTTACTGGATGACAATGTTTCGAGCATAAATCATCATTTCTTATAATCGTATCAGTGTGTAATCACACTCCACTTTTGACATCTGAATTTTATAGTTATATCAACTCATATTCTTCATTTACAATGGCAATAAAATTTTCGATAACTCCGCTATACATAGGTATTGCATCATTCCCAGTACATATGTTGGGTTTTGGTTGATTCGATGAACAAAGATTCCACCTAATTCTATTGTTGGACTTGAGTAGACTGGTTTTATCCCACTCAACCTATTGTGTGCTTGTGTGTGTGTGTATTAATGGCTGAATTACAATAGCCGAGATTTTGTTTCTTCTAAATTATTCATCTTATTCGGGTCTATCACTCTTTATTCAACTAAATCCCTATGTTCCACTATTCTAACTGACCCCGACCAGCTAGGCTAGTTTCACCTATGTACTTGACCTCACTCACAGTCATTATATAGAATTTGATGGATTAGATTATTTTGATAAATTGGTTCTATCCGATCCTTAAGTCAGTCGACAAACCTTATCTCTCAGTGAGTTTGTATGTTTGAATGCTACCTTAATTACAGCTTCGTTGAAAATCTTACGTAAAGTTTGTGATGTACATTCCTGAATGTGTTGTGCCTTAACTCCACAGTCTTCAAGTTTCAGGAGGAAATATATCGATAAATAGATGGGGTATGAATAAGATCAGCAATATCACCAATCGTAGCAGATATATTTATGGATAGTCGAGAGAGAATAGCTTTATAAGTGTTTAATCCTACGCCAAAGATATAGTGGCGATATGTGGATGACCCTTTACTGTATTGAAATCTGAACATATCGACAATTTCCTGACACATATAAACTCTGTAATAGGTGCAACCCGATTTACTTATGAGGCAGACAATAACCAATGAGAATTACTGATGGTCGAATTACAGGATGAAGGACAGACGGTGGTTTAGATACTACCTTCTACAGGAAGCCGATACATTCTAATAAGTATCTAGACTCCAAGTCATCTCATCCAATGTCAGTCAATGAAAGTAGGTTTAGTCAAATGTCTAAATGATAGAGCTAGAAAACTGACTAGTCACAGTAAGAACCTGAACAAGGAATTGAAACACGTGAAAGAAGCACTGATAGTTAATAATTATTCTCCACAGTTTATTCAGAAATTCTTACGGATACACAAAAAATGAAAAAGTAGAAGTCACATAAGTACGACTAATAAGGACAACAGGAGTAGAAAGGTGTTCACAGCCTCCATTGTGTTACCGCATAATGAAGGTATATCAGAATGTTTACGTAGGATCCTCAATAAAGCTGGGATTAGGCTGGCATTCAAACATACAAACTCACTGAGAGATAAGGTTTATCGACTGACTTAAGGATCGGATAGAACCAATTTATCAAAATAATCTAATCCATCAAATTCTATATAATGACTGTGAGTGAGGTCAAGTACATAGGTGAAACTAGCCTAGCTGGTCGGGGTCAGTTAGAATAGTGGAACATAGGGATTTAGTTGAATAAAGAGTGATAGACCCGAATAAGATGAATAATTTAGAAGAAATAAAATCTCGGCTATTGTAATTCAGCGATTAACACACATACACACAAGCACACAGTAGAATTAGGTGGAGAGAGAGAGATTGATTATTGGATCTTTGTTCATCGAATCAACCAACACTCAGTCAACATATGTAATAGAAATGACCCAACATTTATGCTAGAGATATGGAAAGTTTTACTACCAAGATAAACAAGTAATATGAGGTGTGTGACAGGACTATAAAATGAACATGTTGAAATTGGAGTTTGATTACACATTGATGTGATGATGAGTAGTGCTAATTGCTACTCTAAACGTCATCATCAAGTATATGTAACTGTATCACTGTGTATAATGAATTAAATAAGCATATCCAATATGGAATTGAATTCTATGACAGTGCTCAATTTTATTCACCTATATTAAGGTTCAAACGAAGGTTGAATTTTAATTCATAAATAATCTTAGGTTCTATCAGCTGAACTGATGGATGTATGATAGGCATCTCAAGTGTAATTTAAAATAATATAACTCAATTCGTTGCCTATTTTGTGGTAAGCTATGCTTATTGTATATGAAAGGGCTAACCCTAATATTCGACTACTTAGGCTAAAGGTAGGTTGAGTAGGATTCGAATCTGAAACGATAAACTGCCAAACAGATATTCTTAACGGTGTTATTATTATCATTTGACTATTTAAGATAGCCGTAGTTTGGCAGAATAGTATTTATACTATATGATGATTGAAGGTCAAGTGGAAATTTGGACCACTACACGGTTCGAACCAGCGACCACTGGGTTACTTGTCCAATGCTCTACCAACTGAGGTACGAAGTTCGACTGCTGACTAGAATTTTATTTCACTTCATGAACTCATTTGGTAGTCGGGCAAAACCCTTGGTGATTGAAGTGAAAATAAAATTCTGATCAGCAAGTCGGACCTCGTAGCTCAGTTGATAGAGCACTAGGCCGGTAACTCGATGGTCGCTGGTTCAAATCCGGCCGCAGGTTAGATTTTCATCTCACCTTCAGTCATCACCCGGTATGTTATTATTCTTATTGTTTCGAATCTGTCACACAGAAAGATAAAATTAGTGTAGGATCTCGCCCACAGGTGCATCAGCCCAAGTTACCCCATACTTCACAGAAGTACTGAACAGGTGGAGTGTCATCAAAGTCGGCAAAGTTGTATGAGAGAAGATAACGGTTAATGCGAATATTCAGACTTTAGAAGATGTCAGGACTAGAATACATCTACACCATTGTGACCGGTTTTCACGGACGTGTGCTAGGTCTTGGTCTGCCATCCTGAACCCTTTTTCAACTTATTCCAACTTGCACTAGGGATGACATGTAGAGATAGATAGATGTTAGGGTGCGTGCATGCGTTAAACACATGTCCAAGCCATCTCAGCTAATGAAGCTTCATAACCTCATCAATCGACTTGTTTATCTTACTTGATACCCTTCATCTGACCTCAACATTACTCTCATGCTGATACCATCATACACGAACTATGCTGTGATTAAAATCGTGTTATCAGTTCATATCTTCTACTATTGTTTATATAACCTGCGGGCACTTGAATCATAACCTTTAAATGTTGCTGCCCTTCATTGGCATTAAGATATCAGAAGGTTTATTTCAACATTGGATAGGTGTACAGAATACAACGGCTGTTATATGTATTTAAGATGGCCTTCGCTGTTCCCAGGACTTTCTCTGTTGATTTTACCTCAATAATCAGTGTTTCACTTACACCCATGTTTATATGCCTTTTCTAAATCTTTTGGAGCATAATGATTACTTGTAATCGTCTTTGAGGATTTACAGTGTCTTTCTGATTACACAGGATAACACAATTCTCCATCTGTCTCATTGTTTTTTGCTTTTTTATCATGTGTATGTGCCTGTCTGTCTATTTATCTGCTTGTTTGTCTGCTATTCTATTCCGTTATAGAAATACGTCCTCATCGATGTGAATGTTGTCCTAGTGCATTTGGTACACCTAGTGAACTACGCAGACATAAAGAGAATGTTCATGATCGTAAGTCTCTTTCCGAAATTGTTATTATTATTATTATTATTGTTTCAAGTTGTTATTCATCGTAGACTTACATCAGTCGGAGGAACAAAGGAAACCCGGGAGCACTGGACAGCTGTTTCGTCTTAGTATGGGACTTTTCAGCAGTGCGCACCGACGACCCCGCCGGGGATCATACCCGTGACCTTCAGGTCCCGCGGACAGCGTGTTACCATTGAGCCACTAGGTCAGAATCCGATGCTCCATATTATCCAACTTCTGTTAGCTCACGATATAGCGCAACCGCCACCCAATGTTATCGTTGAATAACTGTCGTCACGACCATCAGGCTTTGACTCCACCGGTCACGACTTCTCATTGAAACTCCGGGAATACTTCTCGAAGCTAGTTACCAATGAGTACCAGTTCAATTGAATTTTGAGGGAGTTATGGAGATTTGGAAATATTTCAAGTTGTTATTCATAAGTTGTCCAGTGCTCCCAGGTTTCCTTTGTTCCTCCAACTGATGTCAGTCTACGATGAATAACAACTTGAAATGTTTCTAAATCTCCATAACTCCCTCAAAATTATTATTATTTGTCCATTGGATTCCTAGTGGAACATAACGCATCAGTAGCACGTGGCCATTTCACTCTCTTCTCTGCAGTTTTTTGAACCTCGCTCCACGACTGTTCTGAAGCTTTCATTTCTTTCTCACACCATCTCACTCTCATATGGAACGCCCAACTCGTCGTTTCCCATTTGGCTTCCACTCGACGACCTGGCCTGGCCTGGCCTGACGCGTGATGTCCCCAAACACTCTTCTCAGTGTATGTCCAATCCAATCTAATCCATCTGCACTTTCTTCTTGTGCATATTTGTTGGGCGATAGGTTGTTGGTCGGTTGGTTCGTTGCCAGCCAGTTTCTTGTTGCTTATTCCTAATATCCTGGCCATTTGATCTCCATCTTCAGTATCGAGTGATCGTAGGCGACAGCTGTTGATAAGATGTGTGTCTTTAGTTTGTTGGAAATACTTTTCGTAACGCGTCAAGTCTCTGATCCATCACATGGAAGCAGTGTTGAATATCCGGATACTGTTCACGCTTTATGCTGAGTGGAGTGCAGTGCTGTGCAGTAGATCTGCACACTGATTTCAAATTAATGAAGGAAGGTCTGGCTTGGTATCCTTCTGATCCTGGCTTTCACGTGCTCATCTGTGCCACCTCCTACAGTTGGAACGATGCTGCCTTTCCTAGGAAAAAGATAACACATTACTTTTCTCTTGATTGTGGTGATTGGCGCTTGTTATTGTTGTTGGTTGGGTATCTTCATCACCTCTATCTTCTCTACGTTCACTTGAAGTCTTGTCTTCGCTGCCTCTTCTGTAACTTGTTAGTCTTCTCCTGTAGATCTTCGAGTTTTTGCGACAATACATTAGAGGTAAATCATCACCATTGGCGAAATGCAGATCTTCTTCTAGGGTCTTTTCATCGGTGAAGTCGGCGTATGCCGCTCCTCAGAGTTGTCTGTTGCGTGATCCAGTCCAGTCCAGTGCAGTCGACCACAATCAGGAAGATCATCGGTGATAGTAGGCGGTAACTTTGTCTTACTCCCGTCTTCACTTCAAAGGCGTTACTGAGCAGGTTTTCATTGTGGATCACTACTCATGTAGCGTTTTCATATGGCTGTTGAATAAGGTTGATAAAGATTTGTGGCACTCAACTCGTAGTATTGAAGCAGCTGCCTGCTAGATTACTTTTTGGTTGACGCTGTCGAAGACCTTTTCAATGTCGATAAAGTTGAATGGAATTCCCCCCCCCCCCTACAGTCTTTTATTTCTTAAAGGCAGTCTAGATATTTGGAATCCAAACCTATTGATGCGAAGATGCAAAGACGTGTTCATAATCGATTTCTGAATAAGAGTTATGATTCTTCAGTGTTGACAAGAAGTAATTGGTTAAACAGGAACTGTAACAGTTGCCTCCAAAATACCCCTTGATCGACTTTTGATATAGGTGGTTATCATATATACTAACTGATTGCGTTACATTTCTTATGAAAGGTTAAGATACTTTTCACACTATGCTATATGATGCTCAGAACAAGCAATAGTTCTGTATCATTCAGCTGAATTGCTGAACGATTACAACGCCATGCTATGATTATTTTTGTTCATCTTAACAACTGATCGATATTTTGTTTCACCGAGTAAACTAAACCATGATATATTTCTTATAAAACGACATATTTTGCAGTTGTACTGATCTTGGTGACTAGCTGAGGAATCCAGGACGCATGTTTTGTTTCATTTGGGACATATCAGCTGGATGTACATGCATCCTAATGAGTGATGTTGTTCCCACCGAGGCTTGATGCGAAAGGTACTGGGTTGAAAATTTTCAATCGCTTATCTCTGTCACGTTTGATGTCTTTGCAATGGTAATCTGACCGTAAAAGATCGGGTTTACAACGCTTCAGTGCCCGTGAAACCTGGCTGAGGGTATGGGACGACTCTGTGTATTCGATTATCTTTGCTTCTCCATAGGATTGCTCGTATCCAGAAGCAACACCACGTAAGTAATTCTGAGGTACGATAGCGTGTACTCGTTATTCAATAAGTGAAGTCATCTGGAAACACCGGTGGCTCAGACATGTGTTACACATGTCATCCCAACGGCTTTTATACCGTTGATTGTTTGCTATCCCTGGGACTGGATGGAGGAAGCAAAGGGGTGGTCATTGTATGATATGGGGCCGTGGGATGAGGATAATTGTTTAGGGTTAACATCACGACTCCCTGGGTGATGTCCGAGAGATAAATATCAATATCGTTTATCTCCTTCTTGTAAATTATGTATATATTTTTAAGTATGTAATTCAGTAGTGTATATCACAGAGTATAACAATAGTAAGCATAAGTCTTGTCTTTCATCGAATAGAGATTTGGAGTATTTTTATGAAGAGTTAATTCGTAAGTTGTCACATTTGTTTCTAACGACAAGTTTTGATCACATTGTTAGATGAATTGAGAACTCATATAGTCAGAGAATATTTTTGAAAGTTGAAACACAGTCCCCTGTAAAAAAATAGCGTTAAATGCGGTTATTAAGCTATCGAAAAGTAACGTTATATATTAGCTGATGTTTACTGCAGCTTCATTACGCTTAGATTGTGTTCGAAGATCCATTCCGATTACTCTACATTATTATTATCTAATAAAAATTATTTTAATACCGAACTAATTTAAAGATTTTGGAGTGACTACCAATCACAGTGGATGGTAAGGGGGGGGATTGGGTAAGGCATCGATATCTTTAGCTTAATGTCCAGTTGTTGGCGAGAATGAACCGATAAAAGTGACAGTTTATGAGATAAACAATAATAACTCGATGAAATACTTGAACTGGTTACAAATAGTGACTGTTCTTTTTTCAAAACTATCTACTTCACCGAGTTGCAAAAATCAGAAAATGAAGGTCATCTTTTGATTGTAAGAAAGACACTCTATTGAACAAAAATACATCATTTTGATGAGCGTAAAAATGTTGTTTTCAAAAACTGTCATGTGTTGTGGCTACTAACGATGCACGGATATCGACTGCCAGCCACTAACGTTCAACAAATTCCTAGTTGATTCCTGACCTGACTAATTAACGGAGAAGACACGATGAACGTGTAGAAAAACGTGTATTGTGGTCGAGAGATCGAAGACCAAAGAAAATACAGCTAATATATAGATAATGATCCTTTCGATTGGCTAATCCACTGTCTGTCTGTTTGTCTGTCTATCTTTTTAACTGTAGAGGTGATAACACAAAGCACATTCTGATTGGTTCCTCTCCAGACTAGTCATTTCTCTCTATCCCCACATTAATTAAACCGTTAGGTCAAAAGTTGGATATTTATTTTGATTGGTCAATTGCATGACAAAGTTGTCGAATCATATTTTTCCTGACTACACTGTAACACGAAGCAAACGTCGAAATTCAAACCTTCTACCTCAGCGGCTGGTGACTGTGATTTCCATTTAGCCTGCTTATCATCACTTTTAGAAGATAAAAACTGAAACATTTGGGAAAAAAATAATGATATTTAAACTAGCCTACGCTTACTCTTTGAGTGTCTAGCGTTCAACTGCACTTTGACTGGACTATTGACATTAGTTGTTTGAATATATTTAGCGTATGCTTGGCACCTGTCATGCGTAAGATACTCGTACTGACACTGATTTCGGGATTACCGAATGCATTGATTGAAGTCGTTAACAGCTTCATATATGTTCGCAAAGTCGTTTCACCTCTCAACGAGACTGAATATAATCAGCAATTGTAAATTGACACTGATGTGTCGGTTGTTGCTAAAGACAGTAAGCTGACATCTATTGCGTCAAGGCTGTTAAGATTTCATTATTTGAAGCGGGATTGGAATTCGTAATCCACTGGTTGAAAGTCAAGTAACTAACTCATAGCTTCATCGCTTTGCTTTAAAAATCTTAACAGGGGTATGCAAAATCCGCTTTGCACTCGCGAAAACTGCGACGTTCATGGTGTTACATACCCCCTAATTTCTCATAGCTTAACCCTGCTGTCCTACGTGTGACCTTAAAATTACTTACATGTCTGTTTTCACACCTTTGCTAGTTTTTCTGCACTCTGCTCTCAAGACTGAACTCTCATTGGTTGTCAACATGTATGTGGATTTAGTTTTGTCAAGGTCGTTTAGAAATGTATGTATATTCAGCATCCCTGTTAACTGTCTATCTTCTCTCTGTCTTGTCTCCCCACGTCGGTGGTATTGTTGTTGTTGTGGTTGACGTTCTAATTTGCGTTAGAGTCAGTTCGTTCGTAACATTCGTAGTCTGCTAGACTCATATCGCTCGTAGACTGTTAAGTCGTACCACTGGTCATAGCAATGGTATCAACAAAGTATCCGACAGCTTATCAATGGGTGAATATGCTGAACGCTATTTCACTCTTTTCTCATCTACGACTGTTAGGTACGGCTACAAGGTTTTTATCATTTTATCTACATGGCATTCATGGTTGAATTGATGAGTTGGCGATTTGAAAGCTATGCTATGCTATACAATGCTAAGCTAAGAAGATAGGACATTCTTCAATGCAGAACAAGATGGTTACCAGCAGTTCACCATGAATTTAGTGTTTCTTTGTTATCTGAGTGTATAACTATCATCACATAAGTTTCGTTTCGTTTCACTAACGTTCCCATATACTGTGGTGATCGTAGTCACTTTAGAAAGAGGGAAAGTGTTAGAAATTTTTTTTTTTTGTTATCCTAACATTCTTTTGCTCTCATTGAATTTTACGAAGGTGTTGTATATATTTCCTGGTTCATTTCAAGAATGACAGTGTGCATCATTTGATCTTCATGTAGTGTATTAGGTGTTACTGGTCAAAATGTTGAGAGGGTGGCAGAAACCATAGGGAATAACCAGTGATGGGCGGGGATTCTGCCCAGAGAAACTCAAGAGGCAGTGTAGATGTATCAAGGGCAAGTCATGATAGAAGCGGAAGAGAAAATGAAGTACAATATGCGAATGACAGTCTTAGTGGAAAGTGTACAATATTCGATGACTACTTTATCAGATGTTGATAATAAACGTTTCTTCCTTCGTCTCAGTCTTCTCGTTTCCTACTTCAATCGGTATCTGAAGTATACAAAAGCGTATTTGTAATACCTTTCCTAATTTAGGTAGGTGTTGGTGATCATTAGGCCTGTAAAAAACGTTGTGGTAACATAACATAAGTCGGAGACGTCGTATTTTATTGCCAACGTTTGTTGCTACACTTATACTCCATATTTCAGGTTACCGAGATCGTATATAGCAGAATGTTGAATAAGTTCATAGTCTGCTACAATCATTTCACCCTTAGCCTTATTTTTCTGAATTCCTTGACATTAATTCCTTACTCATTTGTGTCTGTCTGTTAGACCAGATCTTTCACCTAACCACTTTGTTGATTTAACATTATATATCTAGTTATTATTATTATTATTACTATTGTTATTATTATTATTATTAATCTCTTGGGTATCTAGTGGAACACTGGGTTTTCATAGCATTCTATTCTCTGAAATCTTTTGAACATGACTTTATGACTACCCACAAGCTTTCTTTTCTTTCTCATACACTCTTCTCCACGTCACCCTCGAAAGCCCAACTCGTTGTTTCCCATTTAGATTCCACTTGAGGGCCTGGCGTGTGATGTCTCCGAATGGTTTTCTCAGTGTACACCCTATCCATCTCTACTTTCTTCTGCTTATCTGTAGGGCGATAGGTTCTTGGTTGGTTCGTTCTCAGAGTTCATCCTTGCTTATTCTTATCATTCTGGCCATCTGGTCTTCAGTATCAAGCGTAGCCAGTTGTTGATGAATATCTGTAGTTTGTTGGAAATGCTTTTCGTGACGTGCCAAGTCTCTCAACCATCACGTAGAAGCACTGAATTAACTGACATTAGTAGTGTTGAAAAATCGAATCTAGATCACGCTTTATTCTGAGTGCAGTAGATCTCTACACTAGTTTCAGTGAAGGCCTGTCTTGCTTTTTGGCTCCTGGCTTTGACGTCCCCATCCATGTCTCTACCGCTCCATGTGGTTGAAACGGTGCTGTCTAGGTAGGTGAAGCGACAACTTGTCTTGGATTTCTCCCGTCGATGGTGATTGGTGCTTGTTGTTGGTTGGGTATCATCATCACCTCTGTCTTTTCTACATTCATTTGAAGTCCCATTTTTGCTGCCTCTTCTGTCAACTTGTTGGTTTTCGCATGTAGATCTTCGAGTTTGTGCGACAAGACATTAGACATAAATCATCACCATCGGTGAAATCCAAATCTTGTCACAGGTCAAGCAGCGTATGCCTATCTTCTCACCCCTCACAGTTGTCTGTTGCATGATCCAGTTTAGTCCAGCGCAATCGACTACAATGAGCAAGATGATCGATGATAGTATGCGACAACCTTGCCTTACTCTTGTCATCACTTCAGTGGTGTCACTGAGCTTTCCATTATGAATCACTTGGCATGTGGCGTCTTCATATAGCTGTTGAATGAGGTTGATAAAGATTTGTGGCACTCAAATCGTAGTGTTGAAGCAGCTAACTGCCAAATTACTTTTCGGTTGACGCTGTCGAAGGCCTTTTCAAATGGGATGAATTTGAGGTAGAGATGAATTGACTGCATTCTGTACTCTATTTTATGATGATGCGTAGCGTTGCAATTTGATCGGCACATGGTTTGTTCTTCCTGAAACCAGCCAGACTGTTCCGGTTGTAATTTTGAATCCAGCGCATCCTTCATTGTCTCCAGGATAATGCAGCATAATGTTATGCTTCGGGTGGACATCAGCTTTATTCCGTGCGACGTATATACCTAAGCTTTGCTAAAAAAGCGATTATATATTGTTAAGATACTTGTAGTTTCCCGTTGCTATATAGGGTCGAATCGCTTAACCTTCTAATTCAGACGTGCTTGTACTCATCGTGTCACAAGAGATACCCATCGTGCTCCCAGTTGCCTAATGGATAATGCTTTGGTGTTTGAAGCGATGGCTATATGGTTTGAATCTTAATGGGGATAACAACACTCACTAAAATGGAGGCGCATCCAGCTGAAGAGTCCCAAATTGGACAAAACGCGCATCCTGGATGCTACTACCAGTCATCAATATCAATATAACAATTGTTTGTAGCTCTAATTCACTCTGATTTATTTATTCGAAGTTTGTTTAGATGATGCTTAGTGATTGTTTTTTAACCATTCAAATTTCATTATTATTGGTGTCCGTTTTCTGTTATATTTCGGTTTTATTGTTTTACAGGTGTAGGTAATCGAAAATGTCGACATTGTGGTGAGAAATTTGCCACAGTTAACAATTTAAAGCAACATATAACTACGCAACACTCTGGTAAATTGTAGTGTTTTTCCCCACTGTTTTATGTATCCCTTTTTATTTCTTTAAGGATGAAATGAAAATCTGAACCGCGGACGGATTCGAACCAGAGACCACCAGGTTTTCTGTTTGATGCTCTACCAATTGAGCTGTGACGTTCGAGTGCTGATCACATTTGTATTTCACTTCAATCATTAAGGGTTTGTTTGCTTGACTACCATGTGAATTAGTGACACGTTATTATCGCTTGATCGTATTCATACTGACTGCCCAGCGTGAACTTTTCATCTTAATCCAAATGTAGGTGAATTAGAATGAGAGGGGGAGCCACATATTGATTATCATTTGGACTATGTGAGATAGCAGCAGTGGTTTGGCAGACTACTACTTATACAAGGTGATGATTGGAGGTGAAAAGAGAATTTGGAGTGCGTCCGGATTCGAACCAGTGATCACCTGGGTTTCCATCCCTGATGCTCCCTACCAATTGAGTGTGAAGTATACATGTGAAACAGCTAACGTATACTACGCCAAACATTGGTTATTTCGCTTCCCTTTGAGTGGGATAACCTTTGGCACAGATTTATCCTTTTATTGTCCTAATCTTCAACCTTATACTCAATTTCAGCATTATTCTCTGATTCCTCCTTTCTCTCTTCTGATTACTTTATACCACTTTTAACTGCTTTCTACTTCATTCCTTTATCTTTCATCTGAATACTCCCTCATCTAATGTGCTTATATAAGATGTTACAACTTAAAGTATGACACTAACTGCTGCAGCCTATGGTTGGTTTCGTCTGTCCTTTTAGTCGTCACGCGATAAAAATAGTAAGAACCGATGCTTTTTGGATATTCGATCGTGTTTCTTTATTCTGTACAATTGGTTATGCACTCACCAACTGATCACTTAAATGATAATCCATACAGCTAATAAAGCTTAAATGATCTGAAAATCTTCTCTTTTCAACAATTCATTCGTAAACTGTAAAATCATTTTCGTTTTTAAAGAGTAAGTGTTCTACACTGACTGTAGTTCATCGATTAGGGTTTCAACAGGTCTACCTAGGTAATATCTATACCTTCTACACAGGCATAGACATAAGTTTCGTATTTATTACCAGGGATTGACGAAGCTTATCCTACAACCGTAAGATAACTGATATTTTGCTAATAACTTATGTCTGTGCAACACCAGTGTTGAATTGCCTCGATGACAACGCGTCTTTAACTGCAACTGCCTGCCTACTTGTAAGAGGAATAGACTAGATTGACGAATCAATCTCCTTATCACAAAACAGATTCGCCTATGAAGATTCAAATATGTCACAGTACTTAGTATAATTGTTTTTATATCATCCCGTCGTTGATTGGACCGAATTGATTAGTTTCTATTGGCATATGGGATCTTGTGTGGATGTCTCGATATTACCGGTGCTGTAATGGTAGTAATGATGGATAGTGGCTAGCATTAGAATCCAGGAATGTGCATTACGCCCCATTTAGGACTCATCAGCTGGATACACCTACTTCCCAGTGAGTGATGTTGTTCCCACCGGGATTCGGACTCGGGAATAATCGCTTCAAACACCAGGGCGTTATGCGCTACACCACCAAGCCACGATGGCAACAACATCATTCACTCGGAAGCAGGTACATCCGGCTGACGATTCCCCAGATTGGGCGAAATGCGCATCCTGGATTCCACTGCTAGCCACTATCCATCATTACTACCATTACTGCACCGGTAAGTTTGAGGCATCCACACAGAATCCCGTATGCTAATAGAGATCGATAAAATCGGTTCAATCAACCACGGTATGATATAAAAACAATTATACTAAGAACTATATCCGTCGCATAAGAAGTGGATATCGTGCTGCAGTGGATAACGCTCTAGCGTTTGAAGCGATCACTCCTGAGTCCGAATCCCGGTGGGAAAAACATTACTCACCGGGAAGCAGTTACCTCCAGCTGACAAGTCCCAAATAGGACGAAGTGCGCATCTTGGAATCCACTGTCAGCCACTATCCATCATTATTATGTTACAGTACTGTCGATTGTTTAAAATCTCCCAATTTTCTAAGACTGTTTGCAAGTTGTTGAACAATGAAGATTTAGTAAAAGGAATCTATTTTCATTTTCTCATCTCCTTTTTTTTTATCTTGTCTGTAGAGCAAAAAGTACTAACTGAAAATTGTTAACTTTTATATAAGTGTAAAACTGGGACACTGTATGCTAGATTGTAATTCCATTCTAGTCTGTTTATTGGATTCTATCAAGGTTGTTAACTAAGGTCGATTAGAATAGCTATAGCAGCAAAAACTTACCTCAGTCAAGATTAGTAGATCGTAATAATAAGATTAAGGGAATTCATAGAAAAGCTCAGCTATAACTCTGTACGCAATTACACACAATCACACAGTGGGATGGGATAGAGCGACACTGTTGAAAATTAACTTAATTCCATTTTTAGTCTGTTTATTAAAAATTTCACACAGTGAAGGAACAGTATCATTTACTGGACAACAACGTTTCGGACACAATTTTTTGTCTACATTCATATGGGCTCAGGTAACTCCACAACTTTGAGACAGACTTTCTATATTCCTCATTTTCTCTCCTCTGTGATGACAAGGATAGTAGAATTTTCCATGTATGTGGGATAGGTGCAGAATCATTCATGTTACTGCATGTGTTTTATTTTTAATCGATAATCAAAGATTCAGTCGGTTATCAATCTCTCTCTCCCCCCCCTCCAACCAACTAAATTAGTTTTCAATACTGTAACTCTATCCCACCCTACAGTGTGATTGCATGTTATTGCGTGCAGAGATATAGTCGGGCTTTTCTCTAAATTTCTTATCTTATTAGGATCTACTAATTTAAATTTGGCTAAGTTTTTGTACCCTGTTATTCTAATCGACCCTTACTAGTCGACTACTTTCACCTATGTACTCTTGACCTCACAATTATCGGTGGGGATTTCGTAAACCAGAATATTTTGACTAATTGCATCGATAGAATCTTTTAACCTACAAAGCCTGTTTCTAAGCCAGTTTGTTGGTTTAAATGCCACCTTAATCCCAGCCAGTCTTATTGAGAATTCTTCGTTATGCTTGTGAGATGCCTTCCTTGTATGGTAACACAAGAAATTTAGGTAGGTAATTATTGAGATGCAAGGTGTTCTTGATATGTCTAATTTCTTGTTGTAGATTTTCTGGTCTACTAGTAAGCTTCCCCCGCCTCCTATCACTTGAGCATTTAACTAGGCCTACCTTAACTGAAATGGGGTGGGAGGATTCGAAGTCTGAGTAGCGATTCGAATGGGTAGGTTTCCTATAGACACTAGTCTCCAGACTTCCACCTTGTATTCGTTTAATCTTGCAATCCAACATTGTTAGCTTACCTTCATCACTTTTTAAGTCACAGATAAACTGGATTCCATTCAATACTGAATTTATATGTGCCAAGAACCTATTGGCGTGTTCTGAGTTCAGTACTGTACGCATATCATTTACGCATCGGACCGTATCTTTGGAGTAGAACTAAATGTTTGAAGGGCTATCTGTTCCCAACTATCCATAAATATGTCTGCGATGATAGTTGACATTGGTGATGCCATAGCAACACTTTCAGCTAGTTTATCTAATTTATTTTGAAACTTAAAAACTGTAGATGTTAGGCACAGTCGTACTCCTAGTATGATTTCCTCGATCGTCACCTTAGTTCGATGTGTAAACTCATTGTCATCCTTAAGCCCATTTCTAACTGTCTCTATAGCCATGTCGGTCGGTATATTCGTTTAAAGGCTAGTTATGTGAAAACTTACCATTTTTTCATTGTCATCTAAAGTTATATCGTCCAGTCTACGCTTAAAGTCATAAGAGTTGGTAAGTCAAGATTTTGAGTGATTTCTAACTGGGCTTAACACCATTGCTAAATATTTAGACAACTCATAAGTTGGTGTGTTTGTAAAATCTACTATAGGCCTGATGGGATAACATGGCTTATGAATTTCAGTAGTACCATACATTCTACTGGAGTTATTAGTTTTCGGCATTAAATTAAACCACTTTGACTCACCTAGAAATGGCTTCATCCAGCGTTTCAGATCCCCTGTCGATTTTTTGACCTTATTCATAATAGTATCCACTGACTTCTTAATTTCCTCATATGGTCCTGTTTCTATATGCTCGTTCACTTTGTAGATTTTGTCAAATTTGTTCATTACAACTGTTGACTTGCCTTTATCCGATTTGGCAATTACTATATTGTTATCTCTCTGACTTGCGTAAATTAGATTTCATTTTCTTCTATCGTTTCAGTGTTAAAGTACACTGTACTCTTACCCCATGTGCAATGGTCTTATTTATTGTGTCTGAAACGTTATCCAGTATTTGATACTGTTTCTTCACTGTGACATATTTAATAAAGAAAACGGAACCTAGTGAAGTACTTAGCATACAGTGCTGCAGGTATTTGCTCAGTGGATGCTATGAAGGAAGAGTGTGCCACCATCTGTGATCTTAATAGGAATGGCTTCTCTGAAAAGTTTGTAACTAAGCATATGAATATCACGAGGGTTAAGACAAGAACGCCAACATTTCCTAAGAAGCAAATCTTGAATCTGGAGTTTAAGAATGACATTGCCAGTGAGATCATCACACAGCGCATAAAAAGAGTGTTGCATAAAGCATTCCCAGCCTCTAAATTATGTCCTATCTTCTACAACTGTAGGTGCCAGAAATAAAGACAAACTGCTTGATTCTGCCAACTCTATTTGCATTTGTCGGTTTAACTGCTCCTATGGAGCTAGTTACGTTGGGCATACAATAAGGCAGTCATATCGTCGAATTTCTGAGCACCACCCCTTATAAATGAGCAAGGGACAAATTAGAACAATAAAGAGCTCCATACGTACACAGGACATCAAGTGGATATTAGAAAAGCCTTCAAATTATTCATCAGATTCCACTTAATTTTCCACATGGATAATGCACTCGCCTACTTCACGTAGCAAAGGCGATTGGAATCCACCTTTGTATCCGAAAGAAGTTTGTTCGACTACTTTTATTACCATGGCTGTCAACATGATGTAACTTATAGGATTACTTCGTACACCTCTTCTCCTTTCTTGTTTTATCAATATTTGTTTGTCTTCTTATTGTTACGTAATCGCTTATTGTGAACGACTGAACACTCATCAAAAATGAGAGCATACTGAAATTCACTTTGATGGTTAATATGCGAACTAATATGATGTGTGAGAATACATGTACACCAGTGACATCGATTCTAAGTCATATCATCTACAGCACGCACACATACCCCAGTCACTTATCTTTGTTGTCACGCTGAACTCATCTGGGAAGTCTGCATCTCCCTACATGGCTCAGACTAGCAGTTGAAGACTCTATAGAGGGATACCATGTTTTAGTCTGGCTGCCACTGAATTTTTTATAACCTAAACGTACTTAAGTTGCTTAAATTGTGTGACGAGACAGGCGGCAGTCACTTGGCATGTGTAACACGTCCCAGCCACTTGAATTGATGTAGGTTCACGACGTTATCAACTGACTTTTCACTTCTCCCCCTCCGTATAATAGTACCTCGGGTAGAGTGAGGGCATGCAACCACCTGTCTTCACTGTTCCAAACCAGCAGTGGGGTTAGGCAGGATTCTCAGTTCCCCTTTAACTTTGCCGTCGATGACATTCTTGGCTATTCGAACTTGAAATTACGGGATATTATCGTCTTACTGTGCGATAACATGCAGGCTGCTCAAGTCACATCTAGTCCATAAGTATACCATGTGCTTGGCATCATCGAAATGCAAAGTACTTTTGCAAGATTGCCAGAAGCCTGTGCCTGCACCCATCCGCGGAAGTTAATCCTTGGAAACAGTCGAAACGTTTCTGTATGTGAGTGTTGATATAGGCGTGACTGGTGCAAATTGCAACCGCATACCGTAAGCTAGAATGGCATACACGAATGTAGGCCACCTTTGTCGCCATCGTGACGTTAGTCTGACCGTGAAAGGTCAGGTTTACAACCCTCCAATGCGAGGAGTCCTGCTTTACGCCTGGTTTCTCCAAATTGAGTATGTGCGACGACTCTGTGTGTCCGATCATCATTCAGTAAGTAAAGTCATCTGGAAACATTGGCTTCAGTAGCTTGGACATGAGTTACACATGTCATCTCAACAGCCTCCTCGCCGTTCATTGTTTGCCAACCCTAGGAATGGATGAGTAGCTTTCTTGATGTCTCTTGCTTCAATTATCTAGCGATTGGATGTTCACCTTTCATAGTGTATGCATAACGTTATGTTGTAGATGTGAACCGTTGACTTCTCGGCTATATCTTAATTTAACAGTTACTTAACCTCCAACTGATCGGTGTAGTAAAGTGTTACAAAGGATAGTCCTAAATGTTAACATCTTTATGTCACTATTCATCGCCATGTATTAATCATACTTTTCTAATTTTTTCTTTACAGATCATGAAGCATTTATATGTGAATTATGCGGTGATCATTTCGCTAGACAGATCGCTTTAACTCGTCATATGATCACTTCTCATACTGGTATGTGATTTTTTTAAATATTATCTACATTTGTGCTACAGTCCCATGGAATTCTTTCCACCTACTAAACATCAATTCCATTTTTTGAAGGTTTAATCCAGGTTGTTTATATAGTCATCATTTTGAATACGTAGACGTTCAATCTCTTCTCCTTTTAATCATATAACCTAATGCTTGCTTACTAATCATGATCATGAGTTCAGTACTTCAGTGATCCGGGTTCATATTATGTAGAAAGACAAAGACAGAGATTCCATGAAGAAGTGATACAGTCGCTAACTAGTTTCTAACTACTGATGGTTAATAATAAGTTGATAGGTACATATGTATTAATTCTATTCTGAACTATTTCAACAGCGCTCATCCATTAATTCATTTTTACATATGAAAATGAAATCAATAACTTGATATGCTAATGATAAGAAACAAAGACGAGCTCTGTACTGAGAAGTAAACATTACAAACTAACATCTTAGGCACAGTATACTCACTCTCTCAGCTTACGTACCGATGAAGTACAAACGTAATGTAATCAGATGCCTGGTTTTAAGATTACTGTCGATCTATTCCAAGAAGTATATGGAAAAAGAACTACTGCGTATGTATCCTTGAGTGCTGATAGAGTTGTGAGGGCGGTTAACACTTCCCGGCTGCCCACACCGTGGAAGGTACCTGAAAAAGATTTGTGTGACCGCAGAGCACATCGGACATCTGCTTGAGGTCTGTATCACGTAGCCTTCTGAGTATTATTGTTTTGAACTTTGTATTTTTGGGGCCGGACGGTCGAAAGGAAACGGAAAATGAACCGGCAGACCGTGGGGCATGGTGGAGTGTGTTATTTTTGGGGTCGACCTGTTCTAACCTTCCCCCTTCCAGTGAGAAGGCAGCATCAGCATGGCACTGCTTGTCATCGAAGGGAAACACCTTACTGCTGTCACACCCCATCCAACTAGCAGCAGTACGACTTCTCCCTCAGACCCCCATCATAATGTAGCAATTTACACTATAACGGTAACTGCTTTTCGTCTAACCACTATTCAACAGACGTTTCTGGTATGGTAGGACCTCTAGGGAACAAGGGATTCACCAGCATAGCTCCTTGGGTCATTGTGATATGCAAGCCTGACCACCACGTTAAGGTAGCAGCTATCGGTCGGATATGCATTCATAATATTCTGAGTGAATACGGGTATCTGGATATGTTCATCAAAATCAATATCAATTACATTGGTCCTAAATAAGAACTGATGATAGTGGTGAAGAAGTCTTTGTTTCTGCACTTACTATTTAAAGGAGACGCTGGAAGTGACATTCTCTCACAACGTCTAGCTAGAGCAGTCAGGTCGGCTTTGCATATCATTCAGTAGTCGGGCAATGCTAAATCCGAGGCGAAAGGGATATCCTACCTACTCCTAGCTATTCTTCTTGCATTTATCAATTTAATTGTTCCTGCGGAATTAGTTACATCGGGAGTACGATTTGGCAGGTGCATCTCAAAATACGAGAGCACTTACCAACTTGATTTGGAGATGGCGAAGTAAAAGTGGTGAAAAGTTCAGTACTAGCGTATCTACTCGACACAGGGCATCACCATAGATGTTAATAAAGCCTTCAATATCATTCATCGTGTTCCAAAAAACGATATCACATGTAGCTCATCAACACCGACTCAACATAGCGGAGGCTACCTCAATAAGATTAATCAAGCCTGACCTGTTCATTCAGGAAGAACATATCGAAGCGTTACTTCTCCCTTGACCTTCAGTAAACTAAAGGTCACTCCTACCATCTTATTCATTATCATATCATTCATCTGTATTATATATCATCCCAATATTGATTAATTTATAGATGATAAATCGATTTCCTTACAATCTCTAAATCTTGCTCTATTTCGAAAATGTATATGCCCCTAACAACATGGCTTGTTTTTTATGCTGTACAAATGGATTTTATAATTGTAGAGCTCGAAGAGAATATTCATTAACAAGGTTATTCTTCGTTCAGATTGTTGCTTTTTATATAGGTTTCTAAAGAAAAAGAGTGGAAATGAATGGAAGGTTATTGATGAATATTCACAACTTTGAAGATGGCAAACATTGTACTCATGGATGCCATGATTATCAACTTTGCGCTATATCATAAAGAATCTCCAGTGACTGATTCTAATCTCGATGCGTCCAAGCACCTTACATATGCTTACATCAACAAAACTAGGAGTAATTGAAAAGGAAGGCTGTAGATAGGAGTGAGGGATAATACGAAGATTCATGAAATATTTCACATCTCTAGGAGGAAATTCTAACTGTTCTCTCAGCATAAAGCTTTGACAAAGAAGTGAGTCAGTTCAACGTTCAAGGTATAAGTTAATGCGAAAATTAGACAAATGTATCTGGTTATGAGCTACTAGTCGCGTATTCTTAACAAACTGGATAGATTGAAATTCTGCCAAGGAAAGCTCAATGATGCCTTTGAAGTGAAAATAGAGTAGTAAGACAAAGTTGCCACCTACTATCACCCATCATCTTTCTGATTGTTGTCGACTGATCTAGATCATGGAATAGACTGTGACTAGCGAGAAGATGGGCATACGCTATTTGACCGGTGATAAGACCCACAAGAAGATTTGGATTTCACCGATGATGATGATTTATGTCTAATGACATGTCGCACAAACTCGAAGATCTAAACGAGAAGACTAACAAGTTACAGAAGAGGCAGCGAAGACAGGACTTCAAGTGAGCGTAGAGAAGACAAAGGTGATGATGATACCTAACCAACATCACCACCACCACCAACGGGAGAAATCTTACGGAGGAAGTTATCTCTTTCACCTACCTAGGAAAGGCAGCATCGTTCCAACTACAGGCGGTGGCACAGATGAGGATATCAAAGTCAGGATCAGAAAGACTGCAAGACAGGCCTACCTACATTGATCAGAAATCAGTGTGGAGATCTACTGCACTGTACTGCACTCCACTCAGCATAAAGTGTGAACAACATCCGGATTTTCAACACTGATGTCAGTCGAGTCAGTGTTTCTATGTGATGGTTGAGAGGCTTGGCGCGTTGCGAAAAACAATCACAACAAACTACAGACATACATCACATCAACAGCTGGCGTTTACCCTTACTCGATACTAATGCTGAAGATCAGATGGCCATAATAATAATGATAATAATAATAAGCAGCGAGGACTCTGGCTGGCAACGAACTAACCGACCAACAACCTATCACTCAACAAATATGCAGAAGAAGAAAGTCGAGATGGATTGGATTGGACGTACACTGAGAAGAGTGTTTGGGGATATCACATGTTAGGCCAGACGAGGCCATCGACTGAAAGCCAAATGGGAAACGATGAGTTGGGTGTCGGAGGGTGGGATAGAGGAGATGGTGTGAGGAAGAGATGAAATCTTATGAGAAGTTGTGGAGAGGTAGGTCCAAAAGACTGCAGAGACGAGTTCTAAATGGTGACGGGTTACTGAAGCTCTCTGTTCCACTAGGAACCTAAAGGGACAAATTATAATAGTTTATTACGCGCCACTTGAGTGCTTTAATTGGTTCTATTGCAACTCTACAGATGTATGATTGACAGTGTCCATCTGATGTAACATTACTGTTGCTTAATCCAATTATTTCAGCGTATGTCCTGCGTTGCGTGAAGTACGCGAAGTATGAGCTTACACAGCATAAATTTTGATATATATGTAGTCTTGGTTTTGGTTGAGACAGATAAATTTCAACATATATGAAATTGTCATACATATGAATTTTTCACATTATTATATATCCCTTGGGTTCCTAATGGAACATAGGGCTTCAGTAGCACGTCTCCAGTGTACTCTTTTTTCTGCAATCTTTTTAACCTGTCGCCATGACTGCCCAGAAGCTCTCATTTCTTCCTCGTTCGATCCCCGTGTCACCCACATCTCGGACACCCAACTCGTCGCTTGCCATTCGGGTTCCACTCGAGCAACTGGCCTGACGCGTGATGTCCCCAGTCGGCCTTCTCAGTGTATGCTCAATCCATCTCCACTTCCTTCTGCCTATTTGTTGGGTGATAGGTTGTTGGTTAGTTCTTTGACAGGCCAGAGTTCCTTGTTGCTTATTCCTTCTGGCCATTTGATCTTCAGTAATGAGTCAGAGTAGGCAGTTCTTGATGAATATCTGTAGTTGTTCGGAAATGCCTTTCGTAACGCGCCAAGTCTCTGAACCATCACATAGAAGCACTGACTTGAGTGGATTGGTGTTGAAAATCCGGATGTTGTTAACGCTTTATGCTGAGTGCAGTAGATTTCCACACTGTTTTCAGGTTAATGAACGCCTGTCTTGCGTTTCCGATCCTGTCTGGTTTTGACATCCTCATCTGTACCTGTGTTGCCTGTTGTTGAAACAGTGCTTCCTAGATAGTTGAAGGAGGTTACTTCCTTTAAGTTTCTCCCGTTGATGGTGATTGTTGTTTGTTGTTGGTTGGGTATCTTCATCACTTTTGTTTTCTCTTTATTCACCTGAAGTCCCGTCTTCGCTGCCCTGCCTGTTGTGTCAACTTGTTAGTTTTTGCATGTAGATCTTGAAGTTTGTGTGACATCAGGCACACACGTCATCAACGAAATCCAGATATTGTAGGTTCTTTTCCGCAGTCCAGCCAGCGTATCCCCCTCTTCTCACTTCCCACTGTTTGCTGCATGATTCAGTCGACCACAATCAGGAAGATCATGGGTGATAGTAGACAGCCTTGTTTCACTCCTGTCTTGACTTCAAAGGCATCACTGAGCTGAGCTTCCCATTGTGAATTACTTGGGATATGGCGTCTTCATATAGTTGTTGAATGAGGAGGATAAAGGTTTGTGGTATTCCGTAGTGTTGAAGCGGTTTCGAAATTACTTCTCGGTGGACGCTGTCGAAGGCCTTTTCAAAGTCGATAAAGTTGAGGTGTAGAGTTGACTGCCATTCTATACTCTGTTCTGTTATGATGTGTAGAGTGTCGTTGCAATTTGGTCCGCATATGATTAGTACTTCCTGAATCCGGCCAGCCAGCCAGCCAGCCTATTCCGGTCGTAATTTAGAATCCAGAGCATTGTTTAGTCTCTCCAGGATGATGCGGCCTAATATTTTGCTTGCTTTGGGTGGATAGTAGCGTGATTGCGCGCCAGTTCTTGCAAAGACTTAGGTCGTCCTTCTTCGTAGACAGTTCAACAAGATAGCTCACATTACCATCTGTTAATTTTTTTTCAGCAGAGGAGAAATCCAGACAGTGTAGTACATGCGGTGAAACATTCTCATCCTTCACGGAATGGAAATCTCATTCTGCTATATGCAATGATGGTAAGTTATACACAATACACCTCAATCCATTGTAATATCATCAAAAGAATATTTTTCAATTATATTTTGACCCAGTAAATGTGTCATATAGTTTTGAACACATGACCTGAATAGTTTTGTCGTCGAACATCTAGACCGAATAATTTTTCGTCATCTCGTACGGAGTCTATTTGTTACTAAGTGGAATTTTCTGAACTATTTCAGTAGTTATTTATCTATTGGTCTTACTTTTTAACCTCCTTCTAAACCTCTACTTGAACTTGTCAAGTTATTTAGGCGCCTAAATTGTTGTGACTGACTGATTGAGTTGGGGGAAGATAGGATATGTTCGATTGGGCCTTGTTTACCATTGGAAACATGCGAGAAGTTGACACTTGCTGGCTGCCCACACCATGGAAAGCTACTTCTTCTTAAGATATCCGGGTTAGAAAAGAAATGGTATAATCACAGGGCCCGTGGAACATGTGCTTGAGACCCGTCTTACGCAGTCTTTTGTGAGATGATGTTCAGGGATTTAGTTGTTCTAACGCCAGCAAGCAGAGAACCCATACTGCTGGCACCGGGAAACTGTGGAGCAGGGAAAAGTATGTGTTATTTTTGAGGCTGATGTTTTCTATTCCCCACCCCCTCTTGCCATTGAGAAGGCAGCGTGGTATTGCTGTTCATTCAAGAAAAAACGTCTTAATGTTGCCACACTCCATCTAGCTAGCAGCTGTACGACTTCTCCCTCAAACCCTCATCACAGTGTAGTAGTTTACCCTACAGCGGTAACCGATTTTCGTTTTACCACTATCCAATAGACCTTTCTGGTATGGTAGGACTTTGAAAGGAAGAAGTGTTTCATCGGGGTTGCTCGTTGGGCCATTGTGATATATACAAGCCCAACCACCACATCAAGATAGTAGCCATCGTTCAGGAAGGTCTTACTGCCCGGTCACTCTTAACGATAGTTGTAATACTCCTATGCGAATGTAAATGACGCTACTTATGGTTATGTTGAAGTGAACTTCAATTTTCTTATGTATGAAGTCTAGGCGAAAACACTGTTGCTCTCCTTAATCCCTCAAAGCTTCAAAGTGGTTTTCGTCTTAAATAATAATTACAGCTCTCTTTGATCGGCGTTAGTTGGTTGCGAGCGATCAACAGTAAGTCCTATGGAACTTATGTTTCGTTCTTATTGACAATCGTCAGCAAAGCGTATTCACAACTTCGATGGAACTGATATCCTCTATTCGTCTTAATGATATTGTATTATTCACCTGTTGATCTCACACAATGTCTTGATTTCACTTCCCCCGGACGGCTGCACGATATCTGAGACGAGGAAATACATCTCTGTAGCACGGAATGATACTTTCATCTCAATTTATAAGTAAAAAAGCCCTTTAACTAACCTTTATTTGAGAAATCCTCATGTACAATTGTTTGTTTTCATTCTGTATTTAATAATCCCGTCGATTGCCTTCAAGTAACGAACATCCATGAAAGTGGACCATGAGGATGAATCTCCCAGCTTGGTAGCCACATTACATAATGTATCATAGAAACTGGTTCAACACTCATGCTTAGATAATCTGAAATTGCCTATTCTCATCCAGTGGCCAATCAGTGCGCAGTTCTCTTAATCATCTTTTTGACTTCTAATTGGTTGGTTGCGTCAAGGTCACACATTACAGGTTTTACTTCTAAAGTGTGATACAATAAATCGTTTTCAGTTCTTTCTCCTATCAATTTTGAAAATATTCTATTATTTCACATTAGTGTAAGAAATGTTTTTCTCTCTTTATATCAGATACAACTGCACATGTTTGTTCATTTTGTGGTGATCGTTTTACTTCACTCCCTATATTACGACATCACAAACGAACAGTACATCAAAGTGAGTTATTTTTCAAGGTTACCAGCTAACGCATGTGAACTCAATTTTTGTTTTCACGTTGGTATTCATCATGGACTGACATAAGTTGGAGAAATATTAAAAACCTGGGAACGACTATTTCGTCCTAGTATGGGATTCTTTAGCAGTGCGTACCCACTACCTCACCTCCCCATGGATTAGCCAGCACGTTACTATTGAGGCAGTGGGTCAGAATCCAATCGTCCATATATCCTACTTCTGTCAGTTCGATCCTTAGGGGAGCGGGTTCGTGCGTGCGCACTGTTGAGGAGAGGAAACAACTGTTGAGTGCTGCCAGCTGTACATTGTTTCCTCAACATCCATCTAAAAAGTGTGTGGTGCATAGCGTATATCGACAATTGTTATTGTCACAGTCCAAGTCTCTGTACATTTCCCTTTACGACAAATATACCAGTCAGGTAATCAGACGAGAGGATAACAGATAGCATCTTGAAGGTAACGTTTAGTGCGTTGAAGCGTGAATATATCTGTGCCATTGTGACCGATTTCCAGCTATGTCAATAAGAGTTCTCAACCTCTGATTCCTATCGTCCTGTCGAGAACCCTAGCCCAGAAGTCTGCATCTCTCCATGTGGTTGAGACCAATAGTCGGCGACTACATCGAATGGTTCTATATCTACTCTGGTCTAGCAACCCCTGAACCTTTTTCAGACTTAATCCGACTTTTACTAGCATGATACATCAAAGTAGGGGGGGGGGGGAAAGGATGATTTGTTTCTTCAGATCCTTATCAATCAGTCTTTTAAGGTATCCATTGTTAGATAGTGTTGTTCTAAGAGTTTCGATTTCAATATCCAATCGATTCCCTCCTTAGTCATAGTGATCCATTTTCTCTTTTTTCCACTTGAGCAAATACCAGCATCATTGTATATTTTGCATATTAACTGAGCAAGTCTCTTGTTAGTGAAATTATCTGTCATTTTACGGAGTGTAAATATGACTGTACAACTTGATAATGAAGTCATTGAGAGGAAATATTTCTTCTTCTCTGATATATATCTTGTTTGTACTGGGTGATGTGATGATTGAAGGTTAGATGAAAATCTGGACGGCTGCCGGATTCGAACCAGCGACCATGGGGTTACCGACCCGTTGCTCTACCAATTGAACTGCGAGGTCCGACTTCTGACCAGATTTAGCTTTTACTTCAATCACCAAACTTCTTTTTATCCGACTACCACATGAATTGGTGACGTGTTACTACCACTTGATCATATTCAGACTGACTGCCTAGTCAGGACTTTTCATCCGAATCCATATGTAAGTGAATTCGAATGTGAGTGTAGGGGGAGGCGGGGGGGATGAGCATCATATTGATTGTAATTTGACTATGTGAAATAGCAGTCGTAGTTTGTCAGACTAGTATTTATACTGTATGATGATTGAAGGTGAGATGAAAATCTGAACTGTGGCCTGTCTCGAATTAGCGGCCATCATGTTACCGGCTCGTTGCCCTGCCAACTAACTATCTGACCTGAATATTATTTCACTTCATATCTTATTCTCATTTACTTGGAGTTTAACAGAGATCTAATTAATATTTATTGTTAATCATATTGTCCGCTTTATTTATTCATTACTCACATCAGTTGAAGAGAAAAACGTTTAGTGGTGCTTAATACAAACAGCAATCAACACAAGTATTGAATTCTTTCATTAATATCATGTGTATCTTCTATGACATATTTGTGTAGATCGTTTATTATTCTTATGTCTGTCTAATGTTTCTTTTTTTCTCAGAATCTCATACGTATGATTGTGAACAATGTGGTCAAAATTTCCTTCGTCTGAATAGCTTCAAATATCATTGTTGTATAGAAAGTAAGCTATTGGAATGAAGGAGTATATAATTGGTATATGATATGTCTCTTTTTTAAGAGCATCTTGATCATGGTGGTTTTTGTTTTACCTACTCATCTCACACATTTTCTATCAAGGTTGGAAAATTTGACTGTTAATCAGGTCTCAGTTTCTTTTCTAGTCACCAAACACATTGTACTTTATTGTTATACCAATTAGAGAGAAAAATACATATACTTGTTGGGATTTTGAAATAGTGAAGATTATTTGTAGGTCAGGTGGGGATGGATTAACTGAAAGACAAAAATAGTATATCAACCAATTGAAACAAAACCCTTTCGAAAAGTTTGACAACTAGATCAATAAAACCTTGAACAAACTTTTCAAAGCAGAAGAAATAACAAAGCAAAACACAAGGTGAATGAAATTGAATGAACCTATCCTTCCTTGGTTCTACAATAGACTGAAACTACACAAACCAGATATTACAGTAGTCTCACTTCAACATACAACAACATCGGGAGAACTTTCGAGAAAACTGAAACACCTGGTTCAATCATGCGGACATTCGATCAAGTCACCAAGAGAATTCTTAGAAAAGATCAAAAGCATTAACATGGAAAATAACGAATTAATAGTATCCTTCAATATCACAGTACTATACACATCCATCGAACCCCAATTGGCCAAGAAAATTATATTTCTCCCGCTGAATGAACACAAACCTTCGGACCTTTGTCTAACAACATACTTCCAATTTAACGGCAAGATATACAAACCGATGAAAGGAATTCCAATGGGATCACTCATATCCGGACTAATTGCAGAAGCAGTGATGCAGTAACTGGAAGCTATCATCCTACTTGTGATGAAACCAAAAAATTGGATTCGCTATGTGAATGACACTTTTGTCATCATTGAAAAAAGATGATATAGAAAACATTCACAGTTTGATCAACAATGTTTTCAATGACATCATATTCACAATGGAGAAAGAATCAAACAACCAACTATCATTCCTGGATGTTCTAGTCAGTAGGACAAATATCGGAAAGCTGGAAACCCAAGTGTACAGGAAGCCAACACACACTGATGAAATCCTGATCTACAATAGCGACAACATACAAAATCAGTTGCGTGCAGACTCTATTCAAAAGAGCGAGAACACATTGCGATCGAACAACTTCACGGAGAAACGCAGAAAATTACTTGTTGTCTATTCTGAAGAAGAATGATTACCTGTGAAACTTGATTAGTTTTTACCACATTTGATTACGTAATCAGTTCTTCTTGTCGTAGACCTTCTTGAGTGAAATTAAATTGAGAGAACAATTGATTGATGCTTTATTGTATAGTTTTGTTAATAGTAGACAGTTTTATGTCTACGGTGTACATAATTGAAATTATATAACAGAACTGGATCCTGAACCATCATTTCACTCAGAAACAAAATCAGATTATTGACTAATTATCATTCTGACTATCTGAGTTAACAGTCGTAGTTTGTCAGACTAGTATATTTATACTTGATGATAATTGAAGGTGAAATGGATAATTTAGACCGTGTAAGGATTCGAACCATCAACCATGGGGTTTCTGACCCGATATTCTACCAAATGAGCTATGCAATCAACTGAACCACAGTTGAAATTTTTATTTCACCTTCAATCATCACTAGGTGATTGGGGTCCACGGGACAAGAGGAACCAGTGGTTGGAGACCCTAGGTGATATGGCTCAGAACCGAAGTCAGTGACGCAGATGTATACACACATTATCCTCATCTTAACAACGCTATACCGAATCTCACCATTTTGTCACTCCTCTTTCCTTTCTTCTCGTACTTCATATTTGTTTTGACTGCATTCACTTATCTTCATCCTTCACCTGACTACCGTTTTACTTGATGTGCTGATATGAGGTGTGGCAAGTTGGACCGTTACGCAGTAATGCCTGGTCCTATGTTGATAATGATGATGATAAGATGATTGGTTGGTCATGTCATGGTATTTGACACAGTGAGATAAATCTCGCATGTCGATAGCTCCTGGACGGTGTATTCATAATTCGTCTGATGACTGTTGCTGCGACATAGTTTCCTTTGAAACGATGAGTATTTATCAACACTGTTACACTCTTCTACTTCTTCTTCTGTGATGTCACTATTGGGTGAACATTTATTGGTTAGGTGATATTTGTCTACGAAACTTTGTTTCAGTCAGTATCTCGTTGTCCACTGAATTAACGTCTTCACTGAATCTGTCCTGTGGATGATTAGGCAGAAGCTGTTTAAATTTAAATACTGGTTGTTGCATATGGATTCCCTGTGAATGTTCTTGTTCATTGTAAGTAACGCTGACTGAGAAAGTCAACGTAGAACCTTGTACATGAATGCGTCAGCTTAGTTTGCCACACTTTACAAAAGTGCCCAAAGATTAAAATAGATATAGTGTGAGAGATTACATCTGTGCTATTGTGACCGATTTTCAACCACGTCACCAATTGTTAGTCTTCAACCACTGATTCTTATCAATTCGGGATGCTAACCATGCAATCTATGCTTCCCTACACTGCTCAAGAAACAGTCAGGGACTTCATCGATTGTTGTCACATTTACTCTGGTCTGGCCACCCTGAATCCTTTTCCATCTTAATCCAACTTCCTCTAACATGCCACGTCAAGGTTGGCGGTGGTTTACCCGCATGCGCAGTACATATGCAAGCCATCTCACTAGACTAACGTTCACAACCCCATCAATCAACTTGCCTGCTTTGCCTATTACGTTTCGACTGACATAAACATTGCTCGCACGGTGATTTCACCAAATGGGAGCAATGCTACGAAGGTACATATGGTCGAAAAACTGTCTCCTACTTTTAACTGTCATGTCTCACAACCGTACAACAGGACAGAATGGACTGTAGTGGCGCAGTATACACGATAGTCAGATATCTCACCGACGCCACAGGTGATGCAATTTGCCAATATCAAAGGGGTTCGTTGTACCGTCTTCAAATCGCTGCGATTTTTTTCCTAATCATACAGCAGCTTATATCAAATAATTTTTTTATGTATGAATCATTTTCTGTTATTTTCCACTTTCATCAACATAGTCAAAGTTTATTATGATTTATTCGTTTGATTTGCTCATTCCTTCTATTCTTGTCAATTGTTTTCTGTTATTAGGTAAGTCGGATGAGAAGAAATCCGAGAATGACAAAGCACTAACAACAACAACAACTTCGATGCAGACAATCGTATCTCAGCCTACAGTTAGTCAAATTAATCCACCTCCATTATTAGGTTTACCACAGAATCCAAATCTTGCGGCTATTGCAGTACTTTCAGCTGTTGTTTCAGGTCTTGGTTTACCAGTGCCACGTTTACCACCTGAATGTAATGGAGATAAACAATTAAATCATAATGGTAAGGGAGAGTGGGGTTCAAATTAAAGGAGAATGCATATTCAATGTTCAAGTGATTTCATTGATATTCAGTGTACAGAACCATAGTTCCTCTTTCAACTAAATTAGATCATAGGATATCAATTCGATTTATGTACACTGAAGTTTTGATATTCACTGCTCTGACACCAGTTGCTATGGCTCAAGGTTCAGAGTATGGTGTGAGTATTCGATTTCTGAGTTACATTATTTACACAATGATAATCTGCAGTATCGATTTCAAGTTGGTACTCATCATGAAAACCTGGGAGCACTGGACAACATCTGTTTCGTCTTAGTATTGCAATCCTCAGCAGTTGGCACCCATGACCCTCCACCTCGCATTTCAGGGATCGAACCCAGAGTCTTCAGGCTCTGTGGCTAGCACGTTATCATTAAGCTAGTGGGTCGGAATCCAATTCTTTATATTTCGTATTTCTGCCAGTTCACGACATAACGTGAGCACCATCCAACGTCGTCGTCGAATAATCATCCTCATGTTCGCCCGGGTTGGTGGGGTAGTCTCATACTAAGATGAAACAGCTGAGGTGTTAGGTATTTAAATGAACAATCCAAAGTTCTGTATTCAGAAAAAAATTGTACGGCCTTTGCCACTGAACTTGTCTTGTAGATGATTAGGCAAAAGCTGGTGAGTTAACTGGATTTTTAGTATTCCTCAGCGTACTTTTTCCACACATAAATTAGTCAAGATGTAGTAACCTATACAGCTCTGAAGCCGCATGGTATTTATTGTTAATCGACGTTTATCGATTAGTTTTCAATATGACCAGTGGATTTATGATTTGTCCTTTGGGTTCCTGCTGGAACAGAGCTTGACTAGCACGTCGCCATTTCACTCTGTTTTCTACAGTTTCTAACCTCTCTCCACGACTCCCCATAAGCTTTCATTTCTCCTTCACACCATCTCCATGTCACCTTCAGCTGGTACGCCCAGCTCGTCGTTTCCCATTTACGTTCCACTCGATGACCTGGCCTGGCGCGTGATATCCCAGTCGGCTTTCTCAGTGTATGCCCAATCCACCTCCACTTTCTTCTACTGCATATTTCTTGGGTGATAGGCTGCTGGTTGGTTCGTTCCCAGAGTTCTTTGTTGCTTATTCTCTGACCATCTGATCTTCAGTATCGAGCCAGCGTAGGTGGCAGCTGTTGATGAATGTCTGTAGTTTGTTGGAAATGCTTTTCGTGACACGCGAAGTTTCTGAACCATATAGTAGCACTGATTTGACTGGATTGGTGTTGAAAATCCGGATGTTGTTCTTTGTGCTGAGTACAGTAGATCTCCACACTGATTATTTCAGATTGATGCAGGAAGGCCTGTCTTGCTGTCTTTCCTATCCTGGTTTTGGTCTCCTCGTTTATCGTCTGTAGTTGAAACGATGCTGTCTAGGGAATGGGTGAAAGACACTACTTCGTTTGGGTTTCTCCCGTTGATAGTAATTGGTGTTTGTTGTTGTTGTTGTTGGTGATGGTTGGGTATATTTATCACCTCTGCTTTCTCTAAATTCACTTGAAGTCAGTCCTGTTTTCACTGCCTCTTCTGTCACCTGTAGATCTTTGAGTTTGTGCAACAAGACATTAGATATAAGTCATCACTGGCGAAATCCAAATCTTCTTCTGGTGTCGTTTCATCGATCTGGCCAGCGTATGCCCATCCTCCCGCTCCTCATGGTTTGCTGCATGATCCAGTTCACTACAATCAGGAAGATCATCGGTGATAGTAGGCGGCAGTCTTGTCTTAATCCTGCTTTCACTACAAAGGCGTCACTGAGCTTTCCATAGTGGGTCACTTGGCATGTGGGGTCACCAGGATGTCCTATCAAATGTGAATTTTGCATTGGTCACCTTTTTTCAACAACATTCTCAAGTAGTGTTGACTAATTTGAACTGCCCTGAAACTATGCTGAATTATTCAATGTCTGTCTGATATTTTTACTTCCTTGTTATACACCCAGTTATCTGTGTATGACTGATGTGTTAAACTGTATAGAAATATGATGTCCTGTATTGTTCGACATTATATGTTTACTTTTTAATTTGTAGTGCCTGTTGTACAACCACCGACAATCCCAACTCCCTTACTTGGATTTCCACAAACAATCAATCCAACAACTCTTCCCACCTTTATCTTAAACAATCCTACAATCTCAACAACAGTATCTACAAGCATCAGTGGCAGTAACATCACCCCTTCTACTCCTTCCAGTATTATTAATTGTGACAGTGGATCATCTTTTATGAATCAAACTGTATTAACAAATGCATTAGCTGTTCTCAATGCTTTTGCTACTTCTCAACCATCCAACAGTACTGATTTATCAACTGTAAACAATTCCACTGCCAATCAACTAACTACTACAAATTCTACTAATGTAATCAAACCGAAATCAGTGACTACTAGTAATAATGAGATTAATTCATCTATATCAAGTTAGGGGAAACTAAGGTAGGCTTTGTCGTTAAGCCTGTTATCTGCATATTTTTATCGAGTTTATTTCATTGAAATGTCAATATTTTAACAAGTATAAATGCTGAAGAGAATTTCAATCATACAATACAATGCAGCTCTGGTGGATGGTCTTGGTTGTATTGTGTTCTTTAAGGAACTGGGTTGTTTAATCATGAAGCTTTTATCGCGTTTCTAGATAGCGACATCATCAGCACGAACTTCACTATGAAGTGATGTGTCAATATCTCGCAGTGTGATTTAGTAACTTGCCTTGACGAAGTGATCTGTGATTGGTTGATTCCTTCGATTGTAGTGTGATTAACTGACTGAATAGATTTTTCTGTCGGTTGTTCCTCTGATTGACTTCTCACCTTTCTGTCATCATTTATCTCATTGATTGATTGGTTGATCCGATAGAACCAATTAGGCAAAATAATATAATCTACCAAATTCCATGTAATGACTGTGAGGTCAAATACATAGGTCAAACTAGCCGGTCGGGGTCAGTTAGATTAACAGAACAATAAGATCTATAACCTAGAAAAACACTCGGCCACTGCATTACATTCACTAACACACAACCACACAATATGGTGGGACAAAACCACTGTACTTAAGTCTAATATAGCTAGGTGGATAGAGAGATTAATTACTGAATCTTTGTTCATCGAATCCACACCCAACACATGTAATAGGTATGACGCAACACCTATACCAGAGATATGGAAAACTTTACTACCAATCAAAAAACAAAGAGAGATCAGGTGACAGGTATCGAAAGAAGTGTGATTACATTGATATGATTATGAGCAGCAATAATTTATGCTCGAAACGTAATCAAGTAAATAATACTGTATCACTGTGCGCTTTATATCAAATAAACAAATCTAATCTGAAATTACATTCTACCACAGTGTCCAAGTTTTACACTTATGTTAATGATAGATTTTGTCTATGTTTGTACGTCTATTGATTGCTGACTGACTGACAGACCTGAATGTCAAGCTTCTAAGAATTCCGTTTCATTTTTTGTGTTTCTTCTCTCTATGCAAAATTTCTACATTGTTGAAGTTGAATTTATGTGTATGGTTGTTATCCACGTGGATTGAAATAAATAACGAAATGTTGTGTCGTTTAATAGCCTATTGGTGTTCATGCAAATGATGAAGTCGAAGAGGGCGACCACCTTGTCTAGTATAGTGTTGACTACAGTTAGTTATTGCAGTTAATTTTGTAGATGATATTCTGTTTGTCTGTCTCCTTTGGTTGTCTCATCCTTTGGTCTGCATAATAATGTTTGGAGAGAATTTGTTTGTTTCATGAGGGGCGACACCAATTCGCAGTGGTCTCAGTAATCTTGTTGGGATTACTGATATATTCTTTATGTATAGTAGGATGATGTGTTTATTGATTTCTGTCGATGACTTTGTAGTTCGTGATGTATGGGATAGGCATCTTCCTTTAAAATTTCGTGTGTGTCCTTACTTCTTGAGAATAGACATCAGGTAATTATTTCCGCTTCTCTATGAAGTTATCCTGCAGTGTAATCTCGCTCTTTTGAATAGAGTCTGCACGCAACTAATCTTGTCAATTGTTCCTACTGTAGTTGAATATTTGATCGGTATTTCTTTGGCTTCTTATACACTTGGGTTACCGCGACATTTCATCACTCACTTCAATCCACTTGGATAACAACTATCGACATGAATTCAGTTTCAACATTGTAGAATTGTTGGATGGAGAGAGGAAACGCAAAGCATATCAGAGAATTTCTAGAAGCTTGGCATTCAGGTCTGTCAGTCAGTCAGCAATCAACAGATGTATAGACATATACCCAACCAATAAGAAAAATGATGACAGAAAGGTGAGAAGTCAACCAGAGGAACAACCGACAGAAAAATCTATTCAGTCAGTTAATCACACAACAATCGAAGGAATCAACCAATCACACATCACTTCGTCAAGGCAAGTTACTAAATCACTCACGGAGAGATATTGACACATCACTTCATAGTGAAGTTCGTGCTGATGATGTTGCTATTTAGAAACGTGATGAAAGCTTCACGAATAAATAACCCAGCTCCTTAAAGAACACAAAGCAACCAAGATTATCCCTACCTGAGCTACAAATATTCTCCATTATTTCACAATACGATATATTTTAGATCCAGTAAATATAATATTGAATAATTTGAGTAGCTAGAAAGTAGTTGGACTGTTCTGTAGATTTTACTAGCTCAGTCTAAATGATTTGACCAGCGTTCAGTTATTCTCTCGGTTAAAGCCAAGGTCATTACTAATGTTGCTCAATTTCTCATATCCCATGAAATGTGAGCGCCATTATTGGGGAATCTTCGATAACACTGCTTTTTCGTTTGATGATAATTTAGCGGGGGAATATTCCTTTAGCACTTTTTATGTTAGATTCTCTATATTGTAACAATTTATACTGGGGTGATGATTGAAGGCGAAATGAAAGTTTGGACTGATGCCGGATTCGAAGCAGTGACTTTCACGTTTCCTGTCTGATGCTCTACCAACTCGGTGCTACCGTGGTCCAACTGATGATCCCATGCTCATCTCACTCCAATCGCCACCCAGTATCACTACTAGTCTACCAAACTGCGGCATATTGTCAAAGTGATAATCAATATGATGCTCCCCCTCTCTGATTCAGTTAGATTTCGCCGTCAATGTGAATACGATCAAGTGATAGTAACGCTTGACGAATTCACATGGTAGGCGGGTAAAAATGTGGTCATCAGTCGGACCTCATAGTTCAGTTGGTAGACCTTATGTTCGGAAACCCTGTGGTCGCTGGTTCGAATCCGGCCCCAATTCAAATTATTTATTTCACCTTCAATCATCACCCAGTATTAAATACTAGTCTACAAAAAAAGACTGATTGATAACCACACTTTAGAATATTTCTGGGGAACGGTTAAGCAATCAAATGTATGTATGTGTATTCGACCGAAGTTTTCTCATCATCTAACTTAACACCTTGACAAGGACTATCTCTATGTATTTTTGATGAGTACATAATCACTGGGATGTTGTGGCGACTTATAGAGATGTTATGTGATGCTAACTGTCATGAGAATAATGTTAGCATCGCTTTTGCATACAGAAACTCGGAATAGTATTTTCCCAGGGCATCATAATGTATCCTATTGAAATTCAGATAACTCTACCTGGTATTGGTGTCATTTCAGCAACGATATACTGCCGAAATCAGTCCAAAGATTCCTGTACATTTTCGATAGCGTAATTAGAAGACAAAGTTTATCTGAGCAATGTGATGTATTTGCGTAATATATTTCGAACAATCTGATACCCCACACATTTACTTGTCAAGTCAATATATAATAAACCGAGGACTGGGGAAGGGGGAAACAAATACAACAATTAACACAATAGAGGATTAAAATTAAGAAAGATGAGAACAAACAGGAAGTGACATAGTTGATCCTAATCTTGGTAAGAAAAAAAAGTGTGACAAGAGGGAGGTGTAGTGTGTAAGAACAAACTGTTTTTGTACACATACAGGTGGTTTAAATTTGTGTATGACTATGGCTTCCATAAATCTCAGAATACGTCCCTGACCAAAGCCTACTCTATACACGGTCTTTAAGAAATATGTCCATATCACTCTATGATACAGAGGGGAGCTAAATAGTATCATTTTAAGATGTAGGCTGACATCAGCCATTAAGAAAACGTATTATGCAGCGAATCTTGCCATTGTGGAGAAAACAAACCACATGCTTCACCAAAAACGTAAACACTGCAAATTCTGAGATTTGTGGAAGTCATAGCCATACACAAATGTAAACCACCTGTATGTGTACAAAAACAGTTTGTTCTTACACACTACACCTCCCTCTTGTCACACTTTTTTTTCTTACCAAGATTAGGATCAACTATGTCACTTCCTATTTATTCTCATCTTTCTTAATTTTAATCCTCTATTGTGTTAATTGTTGTATTTGTTTCCCCCTTCCCCAGTCCTCGGTTTATTATATATTGACTTGACAAGTAAATGTGTGGGGCATCAGATTGTTCGAAATATATTACGCAAATACATCACATTGCTCAGATAAACTTTGTCTTCTAATTACGCAATCGAAATTCATAAAAGGGACTAACTGTTTCAAATTCCTGTACAACACCAAAGTAACCATTTTTATGGGTTCATTCTTCTTTTACTTTGTTATAGTTGACTTTCAATAACGTATTGGATTGGATCAGGTTTCTAATGGGATTTTAAACACCTACAGCTAATAAGAGAATAAATGCTTTTGACATGTATGCACATAGAGAGCTGGTGATCTTAGTTCAGTTATAAAATAAAGTCTGCTATGAGATATTTCATTCAACTTTTTATTATTCTGTTTAGTGTTATTCGACTACTGGATATTGATCTAATTGGCTAACAGGCAAATTCAAGATGTGCGTTTCGTCCAATGTGGGACTCGTCAGCCGTATGTAGATGCAATCCCAGTGATTGGTGTTATTCCTAAAGCGTTATCCACCAATCCATCCCTTATGCAACACATATCGGTTGTTGTTATGATACTTGTAATATTCGATTGCAATACTTAGTTGAATTTCCTGACTTCTGTTGGAAGATAGTCTCTCCTATACGGTTGAATCGATACTGTCGGATATTCATAAGGTTATATTGATCTTGATGGCTTAGTGGATAACGCCTTTGGCATTTTAAGCGATGGGTTATATGTCCAACTCTCTCTGTGAACAACAGCATTGACTGCAGTGTCGATATATCCGGCAGTATTAAGTTGTTGACATAACAGCCCATCTAGCAACAGAGATCCAGTTATTTGACTGAATATTTCATCTCATAACTCATTTTGACTAGACTTCAATATTAAAAACGATTGGATCACTTATATGTAGTCTATGTAATATGTAATGACACCATTCAATGCGTCAGTCCCTTCATTTTTTGATTGAACATTGAGCAAGTGTTTTATGCGTTAGTCAGTTGTTTATTTATTTATTTTTCAACCTTTATTTTACCCCTTTCTTTTTTCTCACAGATACTTCCAATTACAATACTTAAAATATACAGATAGCTTGCAATTTGAAATCTATTCTGATGGTGATGCAATCAATTACTACTGTTATTCTATAAGTAGTATTTTTGTGTTTTTCTAAGAAAAAATAGTTACAATCTCACAGACTACTCATAATTCTTCAGTTGTTTGATTGATTGGTTATATGTATAATTGACAGATTGATCATACTCTACTATTGTACAAATTTCTTACCTTATCTCTTGTCTTATTCATGTGAATAGTAAGTTATCAATTGAGAAAGAGAGGAGAGAATAGAAAAAAAATATTTTATTTTAACTATTCATTAATTATCTTTAATTGTATGGTGTGTTTCTTTGGTTATAAAATCTATTTATTTAAAGTTTAGGAGTGAACTACTAAGTGGGATCTAGCAAATCAAAGAAGACTGATTGAGTTGAAACAGAGAAGCCTAATTGGTTATTTCGATAGTTTGTAGGGTGACTTTTAAAGTATTATACAAGCTAGAGAAAGTGATTACTTCATTGTGACTGAATAAAGTTTTTCTTCAACATTAATTGAATGAAAGTATTTTTTCAAGATTTTAATTTAGTGTATTAAAACTGCTAGTTCAGTGTCTACTATAATTTTCAGCAGAATATGATTCAGTGCATCATTTAAAATGTTGTACAGGTCATTTTTCAGCAATATGTATATGTGACTGACTGCCAGAATGAACGCAGAACCTCATATCGGCTCAGGTGACCACAGTTCACAGAAGTACACATTGAAAAGGTGGAGTGAGATCAAACTAGGCAAAATTGTGCCAGGGAATGAACAATCTGAAGGTAACAGTTATTGCGATGTCAAGAAGTGGAAGACATCTACACCATTGTGACCTATTTCAAGCCATTTCACCAAGTATCAGTTGTCAATCACTGATTTCTTTCATCTTGAGGACCCCAAACAGGCAGTCTACATTTCCCCACAGGACTCCGACCAATAGTAAGAGACTTAAGGGTTAGGTGTAAGATCTTTTTCTGGGAACACTGAATCCTTTTCCAACCTACTCCAACTTCCCTTGGCAGGACACGTCGAGGTAGGCGGTGTCTCGGCATGTTCAAGCCATCTCATTCAAGTAACGTTCCCAACCTCATCAATTGACTTGTCTCATATTGCTCACAAGGTGATTCCACCAGACGCGAACGATGCTACGAAGGCACGTGCGATTTATATCCTGCAACTGCTTCATTTCTTCTGCTTCTGACTGTCTTGTTTTACATTCGTACAACAGGAGAGAACGGACTGTGGTGGCGTAGTATACTCATCGTTTGATAGATTATCGGATAAGTTGCCGGTCTGCACCACAGGTGATCCATGTTGGTGAATGCCAAATAGGCCTTTTATATGCGAGCTGAAATTTCGTCGACCTCATGGATGACTTCAAGTAAGTGAAGTACTCAATACATTCTACCACTTCACTCCTCATCATTAACTTGAGAGTACTGGGAACAACTCAGTCCTGAGGAGTATACTTTTTCAATCCTGAAAGTTATTAAAAGTTTCATACGCTAGTAACAAATCCTTTTTTGCACAAATATAATGTGTTTAAATATTAGCAGTAAATGCATATGGATGTGTTTGTAGCTCTGGTGGATGGTCTTGGTTGTATTGTGTTCTCTTAGAAGCTAAGTTGTTTAATCATGAAGCTTTCATCGCGTTTCTAGGTAGCGACATCATCAGCACGAACTTCACTATGAAGTGATGTGTCAATATCTCTCCGTGAGTGATTTAGTAAGTTGCCTTGACGAAATGATGTGTGATTGGTTGATTCCTTCGATTGTAGTGTGATTAACTGACTGCATAGATTTTTCTGTCGGTTGTTCCTCTGGTTGACTTCTCACCTTTCTGTCATCATTTTCTTATTGGTTGAGTATATGTCTATACATCTGTTGATTGCTGACTGACTGACAGATCTGAATGCCAATCTTCTAGAAATTCTCTGATATGCTTTGCGTTTCCTCTCTCCATCCAACAATTCTACAATGTTGAAACTGAATTCATGTCGATAGTTGTTATCCAAGTGGATTGAAGTGAGTGGTGAAATGTTATGTGTGACGTTTAATGGCCAATGGTTCATGTAGACGAAGTCGAAGAGGGCGACCACTTTTTCCAATGTAGTGTTGACAACACTTAGTTATTGCAGTTGATTTTGTAGATGATATTCTGTTTATCTGTCTTCTTTGGTCTGCATAATAATGTTTGGAGAGAATTTGTTTGTTTCATGAGGGGCCACACCAATTTGAATTGGTCTCAGTAATACAGGTGTGTATTTAAGCTAGGATATGAAGGCGTCCATTACCTGAGAGGTTATGACACTATGGAACTACTCAAGTGGAGCAAGTGCTTGAACCAAACAAGCTTGAAGCCACCACATTTTTATCACTTGTTGTTGCTACGCTACTGTCTTCTGCAACAAGGACATACGACGTATAATCAAGCTTAAATTTAGAAAAAAATGTGATAAGAAAGCTTGAAAATCGAAGGAATGATGTGAAAAGTCATTCATTGAAAGTTCCTATTCCGAGAAAAAGGTGATTGAGCGAAGAAATATAGTTCTATTCAATCAGGTTTTCGTTTTAGGCTCTACACTAATGTATAAATTTTCCATTTATGTTGAGAAACAAAATCGACTAGTGATGTGGTTTCAAGTAACTCATGAGGACGATAAGTATAAGAATTCATAATTCAAGTAATCAACAGACTAACTATCCGCGAAGAGAAATAGTAATTATAATAATATGAAGGAGGTTATTTCTAGACACGTTGTACAGTAACTGGTAAAGTAATTGGACTATTGTTTCTCTCCAGTGTTCAGCCATGATATTGTTATCTTCCGATAATCGTGGAGTCACTTTATCCACTAAAAACGCCCTTAGTTCTTTCATTGTCTACGTGGACTGGCAATCCTCTTTTTGGTAAAAAAATTCCTACTTTCATTCCGATTTAGACATAAAGGCGGTCAAAGCAACGTGTGGTCGCTGTCTAAACATATATTCCAGAGGGAGTGGCAGTCTTCTACTGACCCTCTCCAGCTATGACTGATAGCAGTGTCTTATATAGGTATCCACCACTGAGTTGAGGTTGGTAGGCAATGTCTCTTTTTATGTTTCAAGTTTGTGCTGGTGTTTATCTGCGCATAAATGTGTTAAGTGGTTTCTGTTATCTGTTTGTTCAGCTCTCTGGGATTCTGAAAGTGCCTTCCTGTCTATCATCCTATCCACTTGTGGATTGAAATCAGCTACTACTAAAGCCATAGTTAAGAGTTTGACTGTTTTCTCGGGAAAACTGGTCCTTCAGTTGATCGGAACTGCAGTCATTGGGTGCTTATTCAGAGATAACTGTGAGTTTCACTAATCTCAGTTTTCACTCTGCCGTTCAGTCGAACAGATATTCATCTTGTTGCATAACTGATGATGCGTACGCAATGGATTCTTCAGCTTGTCACCTGAAATGAATGAAGGTGCACTACACCCCCTTTGTTAATAGCAATCATATTCAAAATTTTCACTTAATTAACGGTTCGTTTCGCTTTGAATTTTCTAATATCTTCTAACTGGACATCACTGCGGATGGATAACATATCTTTTTTATAATCACAACAATGCCTGATACGTAGTCTAGTCTTAGAATGATTATGTCAAATCTATTACATAATTCTTTCAAAGATTTGAAGTATTTTGACTTCGAAATGCTTCTTTGTCTTGTTTTGGACCTATGAAATACATGGACAATATTGAGTAATTTAGCCCTTGGTCAACTTTGTTTTATCTGATGTTGGAAAAAGACGACTAGACTAATCTTAAAGATTTTCAAACCGAGCGTCATCAATATCAACATAAGACCAGATTTTACTCCATGTTGGTCCAACTTGCCACATCTCATATTACCACATGGAGTAAAAAGGCAGTCAAGTGGAAGATGAAGAAAATTCGGTTAAAATAGTAAAATTCTGTATAGAGTCGTTAAGATGAGGATAGTGTGTATGTGTATACGTCTGCGCCACTCACATCGGTTCTGAGCCATGTGATCACCCAAAGTCAGTCGCCAACCACTGGTATCTCTTGTCCCATGGACCCCAACCGACTAGTCTGCATCACCTCCTATGGCTCAAACTAACAGTCAAACACGCCATATTCTGATGCCATGTTTTAGTCTGGCCACCCTGAGCGTTTTTCCAGCCTGAACCTACTTCGGCCAACATTGTGTGAGGAGGCAGATGGCGACTAGGTTACACAACACATGTCCCAACCAGCTATCTCAGTCGATGAAGGTTTACAACCGTGTCAAATGACTGACAGCCTCTCCCTAAAACTCTACACCTGACTTCTGCGTTACTCACATGGTGAGCATCAATACCCAAATAAGGAATTTTCATGTGTGAGACTGAAAAGTAGAATCCTAGGGGAAATGCCTGTTTCATATCCATGTAAAGCCACTATCCTTCAATAATGTCAGGGCTGAAAATACAGACAAAATAGAGGCATCCGTGCAGGAAGCCATATGCTAATAGGGACTCATCTGTGTCGATCCAATCGACGACAGGATAATACGAGCAACGTCATATAAATTATACCCGTTTAAGAAGAAGTGGTTATCGTGAGTCGGTGGCCTAATGTTTAGTAGCCTGGTGTTTAAGGGATTGATCCCCAGCTTCAGTCGTATAGGGAACAACATCGCAGGTGCCAGGATGCAAACAGAGCCTATACCTGGCGCGTTAATTTTGAATTATGGTTTTAAAGTGATTGTTCACACGTCCTGAAGTAACTATTACAGTGAAACGTGTTAGGGTGACTTTAAAGGCCACCCCAGCAACTGATGAGACAGCCAATAACATTCCTTCATTTAATGAGAAAGTACTTCTCCAGATAAAATATCAAATCCTGATTGGTCACTTCACTTGTTTCTAAGGTGGTCTTTAAGGTCACTTGCGCGATCTGTACAGAATGTTTAAGGCCTCAAAAGGCTAGGTGGCCTAATTTGAGTTACTTCAAGAGCCACCCCAACAAGTGCTGAAATGACTAATCAGGCATTGGTATTCCGCCTGGAAAATTACCTTCCCATAAATGGAGGAGTGTAATTTTCTGTCACATTCGTTCCTAGAGTGGCCTTTAAAGTCACTTCCTATTTGGAATATCAATGAATGATGACAGACACGTGAAGGAAATTGATTGGTTATGGCTATCATTATCTCTGGCTAAGGGTAAAACATTGATCTGCCTTTTGAGTTATGTATTTGCTGCCTCGTATGATACTTAACAGGGATGGTCCTTTATCCAATTTATGACTGAATTTAAAGGCCACCCTAGGAACAGCCGAAATGGCCAATTAAATTTCTATATTTTATGGGAAATTCGCCGTTGCTGCCGAAATACAGAATTCTAATTGGTTAATTCAAATGGTGATGGCGTGGCCTTTAAAATTGCTCCCAATTTACCTGTTCTCTCTACCTCGTTGATTTCCTAGCATAAGTACATCGAGTTGTTCACATGATTGGCTATGGCTGACAATGAAAAGACATCCAACGTAATAGATTTAATTTCAAGGCCACCGTGGCTTCATTATTTCTACTGGGAAAGTTTTTATCCATAAAATACAAGAATTTAATTGACTATCTCATCAGTTACTGGGGTTGTCTTTAAATCGTCCCGCGTGATATCGATTTGAAGTTTATTCAGTTGCCAGTTATCTTGTTCGACCTGTCAGAATTTTAAGCGTAGGTAAATAATATATCTGATCACTGCGTTATTTGCTACGCCGGCTTTATGCACTACGTTGCCTCGAAACTTAACTATACCTGCAACATCCCAATATGACTTACCATATCTGAAATATTATAAGTAGACAGTATCACCTGGATTAAGTGATACAGGCTTGGCAAAATGGACTTTTAAAATTAATCTAATGCACACAAGTGACTTTAAAGGCCACTGTAGCAATAAATCGCGTTTCTCCATTCTGCGAAAAATTGCCTTCCCGTCGGAAATATCACAATCTGATTGGCTATTTTATCGGATATTAGGGAATCTTATTAAATCATCCATTTCCCATCTCCTTGTATTATTGAAAAGGCTATTTTGAATGTGTCCGTAAAACGTTGACCTTGACCACTAAGTGAAGAATCAACGAATGGGAATACCGTTTACTTCAATGGCTTTCAGTAAATCTGCGAATATACGAGAGGCAAATTAAAGATATCAGAAACGCCAGTGGAAAAGATTACTATAAATAATTGAATTATCAAAAACATAAATATTCCTATCATACCTAATAGCATTATAAATACTTGGCACACCTACCATATCATCATCATCACTCCCATTATCAATATTATAATCAACAAAATTAAAGAAATTATCATGAAGATTGATATCACTCAAAAGAAACTTGCAATCGTATCGAAAATCCTAATTCTCCGACATCGTCGCCTATTTGAAGTTAATTAATATTGAAATCAATATAAAGAACCATCGCATTACCAAAAAATAATTAACATCATGATTCATTTTCGTCGCATATCCAAAAAAAATTAACACCATCTATAACATCAACAGCCATCCTGACATTATCTCATTTAAATCCTGCTTCTTCTTCTTGTTCTAATATTTAATATCATTAAAATTATTATTATCATTACTATAACCATGTATATTATGAACAGTCACCCTGTCATTATTTCATTAACATCATGCTTCTTCTTCTTCTTCTTCTCATATTTACTATTATTATTTTTATTATTATTAGCACTTTTATCACCATGTATATTATGAACAGTCACCCTGTCATTATTTCATTAACATCATGCTTCTTCTTCTTCTTCTTCTCATATTTACTATTATTATTTTTATTATTATTAGCACTTTTATCACCATGTATATTATGAACAGTCACCCTGTCATTATTTCATTAACATCATGCTTCTTCTTCTTCTTCTTCTCATATTTACTATTATTTTTTTTATTATTATTGGCACTTTTATCACCATGTATATTATGAACAGTCACCCTGTCATTATTTCATTAACATCATGCTTCTTCTTCTTCTTCTTCTCATATTTACTATTATTATTTTTATTATTATTGGCACTTTTATCACCATGTATATTATGAACAGTCACCCTGTCATTATTTCATTAACATCATGCTTCTTCTTCTTCTTCTTCTCATATTTACTATTATTTTCATTAGATTATTTAGATCATCTATATTATGAACAGTCACCCTGTCATTATTTCATTACCATCATGCTTCTTCTTCTTCTTCTTCTCATATTTACTATTATTTTCATTAGTATTATTTAGATCATCTATATTATGAACAGTCACCCTGTCATTATTTCATTACCATCATGCTTCTTCTTCTTCTTCTTCTCTTATTTACTATTATTTTCATTAGATTATTTAGATCATCTATATTATGAACAGTCACCCTGTCATTATTTCATTACCATCATGCTTCTTCTTCTTCTTCTTCTCATTATTTACTATTATTTTCATTAGTATTATTTAGATCATCTATATTATGAACAGTCACCCTGTCATTATTTCATTACCATCATGCTTCTTCTTCTTCTTCTTCTCTTATTTACTATTATTTTCATTAGTATTATTTAGATCATCTATATTATGAACAGTCACCCTGTCATTATTTCATTACCATCATGCTTCTTCTTCTTCTTCTTCTCTTATTTACTATTATTTTCATTAGTATTATTTAGATCATCTATATTATGAACAGTCACCCTGTCATTATTTCATTACCATCATGCTTCTTCTTCTTCTTCTTCTCTTATTTACTATTATTTTCATTAGTATTATTTAGATCATCTATATTATGAACAGTCACCCTGTCATTATTTCATTACCATCATGCTTCTTCTTCTTCTTCTTCTCTTATTTACTATTATTTTCATTAGTATTATTTAGATCATCTATATTATGAACAGTCACCCTGTCATTATTTCATTACCATCATGCTTCTTCTTCTTCTTCTTCTCTTATTTACTATTATTTTCATTAGTATTATTTAGATCATCTATATTATGAACAGTCACCCTGTCATTATTTCATTACCATCATGCTTCTTCTTCTTCTTCTTCTCTTATTTACTATTATTTTCATTAGTATTATTTAGATCATCTATATTATGAACAGTCACCCTGTCATTATTTCATTACCATCATGCTTCTTCTTCTTCTTCTTCTCTTATTTACTATTATTTTCATTAGTATTATTTAGATCATCTATATTATGAACAGTCACCCTGTCATTATTTCATTACCATCATGCTTCTTCTTCTTCTTCTTCTCTTATTTACTATTATTTTCATTAGTATTATTTAGATCATCTATATTATGAACAGTCACCCTGTCATTATTTCATTACCATCATGCTTCTTCTTCTTCTTCTTCTCTTATTTACTATTATTTTCATTAGTATTATTTAGATCATCTATATTATGAACAGTCACCCTGTCATTATTTCATTACCATCATGCTTCTTCTTCTTCTTCTTCTCTTATTTACTATTATTTTCATTAGTATTATTTAGATCATCTATATTATGAACAGTCACCCTGTCATTATTTCATTACCATCATGCTTCTTCTTCTTCTTCTTCTCATATTTACTATTATTTTCATTAGCATTATTTAGATCATCTATATTATGAACAGTCACCCTGTCATTATTTCATTACCATCATGCTTCTTCTTCTTCTTCTTCTCTTATTTACTATTATTTTCATTGGATTATTTAGCATCATCTATATTATGAACAGTCACCCTGTCATTATTTCATTACCATCATGCTTCTTCTTCTTCTTCTTCTCTTATTTACTATTATTTTCATTAGTATTATTTAGATCATCTATATTATGAACAGTCACCCTGTCATTATTTCATTACCATCATGCTTCTTCTTCTTCTTCTTCTCTTATTTACTATTATTTTCATTAGTATTATTTAGATCATCTATATTATGAACAGTCACCCTGTCATTATTTCATTACCATCATGCTTCTTCTTCTTCTTCTTCGCTTATTTACTATTATTTTCATTAGTATTATTTAGATCATCTATATTATGAACAGTCACCCTGTCATTATTTCATTACCATCATGCTTCTTCTTCTTCTTCTTCTCTTATTTACTATTATTTTCATTGGATTATTTAGATCATCTATATTATGAACAGTCACCCTGTCATTATTTCATTACCATCATGCTTCTTCTTCTTCTTCTTCTCTTATTTACTATTATTTTCATTAGATTATTTAGATCATCTATATTATGAACAGTCACCCTGTCATTATTTCATTACCATCATGCTTCTTCTTCTTCTTCTTCTCTCTTATTTACTATTATTTTCATTAGATTATTTAGATCATCTATATTATGAACAGTCACCCTGTCATTATTTCATTACCATCATGCTTCTTCTTCTTCTTCTTCTTCTCTTATTTACTATTATTTTCATTAGATTATTTAGATCATCTATATTATGAACAGTCACCCTGTCATTATTTCATTACCATCATGCTTCTTCTTCTTCTTCTTCTCTTATTTACTATTATTTTCATTAGATTATTTAGATCATCTATATTATGAACAGTCACCCTGTCATTATTTCATTACCATCATGCTTCTTATTATTATTATTCTTGCTTGATTCGTTATTATTATTATGACCATCTGTTTTATGATTATTGTTTTCCTCAGTAATATAATTGCTAGTAGTAGTAGCACCAGTAGCATCGTTAGTATCACCACCATCGTCACAGGCTATACGATTATTATTACGGTTATAATTCTTATTTAAGCTAATTCCTGAGCTAGTGCGATTTCACATGATGGGTGGGCGCCACTAATCACCCCTCAAATTCAGCATATTTATAATCAATGATGTAACACCATTCTCAGTATTTCTGCATCTATATTCCCGTCTTTATTAATTCCCGTCCTTAAACGGTAGGAAGTTCTTCAATTATTACAACCACATTGAATGCTAACTACATCATCTTGTGTTTTCATAACAGACCGCCTCAAAAATCTAAGGGATAATAATAAGAAGTGATGATTGTAAGATGAAAACGCGCGTATATTGAAACAGTTCAGATAAAAATTTACAATAGTAGCCCTAGTAGTAGTAGTAGTATACAAAGCATAAGTTTTTCTCAACATGTCTATTAAGCACGTTTTTTTGTCATCTTCTTCCGTTTCTCTCTTGACTTACGAATATCTTTTCGAATTTGTTTAGCTTTGTTTGGAGTTGCTTGATGCTTCAATTGACTAAAGTCACGTCGAACTCCACTATTCAATGATTCAGTTGTATTACGCTTTTGACGCTTCTTTTGTCCACCATGACCATATTTATTATTTTTATAAACACGTGTATGATTAATTCTACAAGGTAAAAGGTGAAAAAAAGGGAACTTTAAGAAACAGAAGTCTTTATATGTGAAAGTCATTCACTATTACTTTTTTTCACCTTCCGTTCCTAGTGGAATATAGGGCTTCAGTTAGAGCGCCTCCATTGCGCTCTCTTCTATGCAATCTTTCCAACCTCACTCCACGACTACGCAGAAGCTTTCATTTTTTCCTCACATCATCTCCTCCATATCACCCTCGCCTCACACGCCCAACTTGTCGTTTCCCTTTTCGATTCCACTCGACGATCTTGCCTCGCCTGGCACTTGATGTCCCCAGTCGGCATTCTCAATATATGCCGAATCCATCTTCACTTTCTTCAACTGCATATTTGTCGGGTGATAGGCTGCTGGTTGGTTCGTTCCTAGAGTTCGTTGTTGTTGATTCTTTCTGGCCATCTGATCTTCAATATCTAGCCAGCGTAGGCGGCAGCTGTTGATCATTGTCTGTGGTCTGTTGGAAACGCTTTTCGTCACACGCCATAGGTGTTGTAAATCCGGATCTTGTTCTTTGTGCTGAATGCAGTAGATCTGCACAGTGATTTCAGATTGATGAAAGCCTGTCTTGCTGTCTTTTCGATCCTGGTTTCGACATTCTCATTTAAGCCGCCTGTAGTTGAAACGATGCTGCCTAGGTAGGTGTTGATGGATGAACGTCATTTGCTAGATCGAAGAAATTTATTACAGCTTAGCGTAAACTAGAAGATCAGGAGAAAAACAACAGGCATTTAGCAGCTATCCCATTATACTTTGAAATATGTTGCCAGGTTGTACAGCCGACTTACATGCTTGATCGAACCCAGCATAGTCAGGTTTTCCAGTAATAAGGTTAAATTTGGATAATGTAATTAGAAGACGTAGATCATCTAAAAACTGTGGTGATATATTAGCGCTATACATACTGAATTGTTAAGGCAATTTATATATGAAAAGTGGAAGTGAGGAAAGGACAAATATGACATAAAGGAATTCAATGATAATAATAAAGATAATGAGCGGGAAAAAACGGTCGATCTACAGGAAACCTACTTGGACAGGTCAGTATTTAAGTTTCCATAGCTTTTGTCCATCTCAAATACAAGCGAAGATTGGTAACTTGTCTATTTAAAAGGATCCAGCATATTTGTACGGTAGACTCAATGGATGATGATATCAAATGGAAAATGGATATCCATTGAAGTTCATAAACCGCAGCAAAAATCAGCAAGGAATCAGACCTTATCTGTACTCTGTTTCCAAGAAATGCGTTTACATCGCGTTGCCATACAGAAGAGAATCTAACAGCATAATATTAAAACGAAGGTTAGGGTCTGCTGTTAGCAAAGTGTACTATGCAGCTAAACTTATCATAGTGAGTTTATCATCCTGAGCTAACAGAAGTTGGAAATATGGAGCATTGGATTCTGACCCAGCGGCGAAATGGCAACGCGCTGGCCGCGGAACCTGAAGGTCGCGGGTTTGATCCCCGCCGGGTCGTGGGTGCGCACTGCTGGGGATTCCCATACTAGGACGGCACAGCTGTCCAGTGCTCCCAGGTTTCCTTTGCTCCTCCAGCTGATGTCAGTCTACGATGAATAGCAACTTGAAATAGTTGAGAAGGCCAAACACCTGCTGCAACCTAGACCTCAATGTTGTATAAACGATTGCGTCACATCCCACTGCGTTTATAAATTTATACATGTGTGTGTATGTGTGTGAAAAAAACATACATAGGGAGGACAAATCGTGATATGCACTTGAGGGGAGGGGGAATATGTAGCAAAATGGCTACGAAAGCAGTTGGATTCACAAACATCGATAGGTGCAGATGGCAGACAAACATCATCCGCATCCACATTCATTGATAAGAGTCACAGGATTGACATTAAAACAGCCTTTACAGTTTGTTGTACAGAAACTGTCAGGGGCGTATACTTAAGTTTGTTGAGGCGCTAGCCATAAATAAATTTGAACCCCCATTGTGTGTGCAAAAGCACTTTGTCCTTACATTAAGCCTACCTTGGTAATGCTTATTTTATCATATTACCAAGATTGTCTTCAAATCTTATCTTTTATTCCTCTCATTATCTTTCTTATTACTGAATTCCTTTATGTCATATTCGTCCTTCCCCCACTTCCAGTTTTCATATATAATACTGTCTTAACAATTAAATGTGTAGGGGGATCAGATTGTTCGAAATGTATAGCGCTAATACATCACCACAGATTTCAGATAATCTAAGTCTTCTAATTACATTATCCAAATTCATAAAAGGGACTAATTGTGTTTCAAATAAGATTTATATTTAACCACCGGCTTGAAGTCAAGTGCTTCCAGTTCAAAATGTAGTACGATTATCAATTTATGTGACCTCAGAAATGATACATGACTACCTCTACATATATGATAAGCAAACAGTAAGACATAAAACGTAGATACCCATCACAAAATGTATGGCTTATACTGTTTAGTGAGTAAACTTTTATTATAGTTTCTCAACTTGGAATTCATTGTGGGTTGATATCAGTTGGAGGAATATTGGAAACCTGGGAGCACTGCACAACTGTTTCGTCCTAGTATGCAACTCCCCAGCAGTGAGCATCCATGATCCCCCCCCAAGCCAGGGATCCAACTATAGACGTTCATGTTCCAAGGCCAGCATGTTGCCATCTAGCCACTGGGTTGAAATCTAATGGTCTTAAGTTCTCACTTCTGTCAGCTGATGACATAGCGCTATCTACATCCAATGTTTCTTATGTTCGATATGATTGACCTCACTGATTACAATATTTCGTTGGAATTTCCGGAATCACCAGTCGACATTGGTTACTAATCAAAACTCGATTTATTCAATTTTGAGGTTTGTGTGTATTTACTGATTTCAGGTAGATATTCATCATGGATCATTGGATTCCAACCAAGTGGCTCAATGGTAACGTGCTGACCACAAAAACCACAAAGTCACGGGTTCCATCCCTGAAGTACGGAGTCGTCAGTTAACACTACTGAAGAATCTCATACTACGACAAAACAATGGCTGTCTAGTGCTTCCAGATGGCAGTCCATGATGAATACAAACTCGAATGACTCAGTCTTTTCTAGCATACTACGTCGAGGTAGGTGGATTGGCTCAAATGGACAATATACAAAGATTTTTAAGAAATACCTAGTGGTGAGATTTAGTGCTGCTAAAAGAAAATAGTGTCAAATAATAACAAATGATCATGAAGAGACTCAAATTTATGCAGTCAAGTGGAATAAAATAAACCATAGAAAAATATAATAACAAGGCCAAAATAGAGAAGACCGTTTTCACCTCAACAACGAAAACATCAAAGCCGCTTTCAGTGAAAAATTGGATAGACAGTTATCTCAAAAGAACACCACCATTCGCCCAGAAGAAGCTTCCTGCCATCTCCAGTCTGCTGTAAAAGCAGCACTGAAGACCGTCACCGACTCCAAAATAGTGGCTTAAAAGACCCAGTGGATATCCGCAGCTTCCTCCGAACTAATGGATACACGTGAACACATCCCTCCACGCTCTGAGTACAATGGAGAGCAAGCGAAACTTAAAAGTAGATTGAGAAAAAGTCTACGCAACAACCCCCGAACAGTGGTGGGCAGAGAAGGCTAAACAGATGGAAAAGGCAGCGTCGACTGGTAACAATAGACAGTTATTAGATATTAAGGAAACTGGGGGAAAAGGTCAACAACGATTAGTGAGACCATCGCAGGGAAGGACGGGTTTGCGAAGGGGAGATGTCTGAAACGATGTGCAGAACACTTTGAAGAACAGTTTAACTGGCCTCCAGACACCACTCCGTTGCCTGCTATCCAGTCGAATCCTGAATGGGACCTTAAGATACGCCCGCCAACATCTGCAGAAGTTGACAAAGCTGTAGGCAACTTGAAACTAGGAGGGGCTCGGTGGCACATGTATTGACAAAATACTCACACTGCACCAGGTTCTGGAACGCAGGCACGCTTACTGACTCCAGACAATACCTATATTTCTCTACCTGAAGGTGGCATTTGACTCCGTTGAGCAAGAAGTCTCACGGAAATGTTTCTCACTGAGAGGCGTGACGAGTAAGTACATCACCTTATCAAACGCTCTCTACTCGAACACTTGTAGGCGTGTTAGAGCCTATGGTGAGATGTCCGTGGAACTGTACTCGTCGAGTGGTGTCCGTTAAGGCTGCCCACTCTCTCCATTCTTATTCAATTTGATCATAGATATTCTTATGGAGGTCTCCATCTCGACACCTGACTATACCACACGTTGACCTAATCGGTGGGGAATTCTCGTTACACCTAGAATTCGCAGATGACACAGTCTTGTTAGGTGAAAACTCTGACAAGATGCAGAGTCTTCTCGACACCTTGAGTGGCAATTTGAGTGTTCGGGATGTATTTCTCACCACCCAAATGCAAATTGTTGCTCCACGATCGGTCTTTAACCGTGTCTCACTGAGGCTAACAATAGAGAGTGTAGTTGGTTGAGTGTGTCGACGACTTCACTTACCTGGGAAGTGAAGTGGGATCAACCCTACCCTAGTGCATTGGTCGACTGGCTTTTGCCACCTTACGCCATCTGTGGTACCGCCGTGATATCCCATTGTCTGTACTCCACAACAGTCCACTCTGCTCTACTCTATGGGTGTGAAACATGGCCGTCGAAAGTGTGGAAGACATGAGAAGGCTTCAGGTGTTTGACCATCGTTGCCTTCGTAGTATAAGAGGTGCATCGTGGTGTCGCTATGTGATGAGTAACACAGAAGTCAGGATCAGGTGTAGAGTTTTAGGGAGAAGAGGTAAGATAGTTGACGAGGTTGTGAACATTCATCAACTGAGATATCTGGTTGAGACACGTCTTGTGTTACGTATACCTAGTCGCCATCTGCCTCCTCACACAATGTTGACCGAAGTAGGTTCAGGTTGGAAAAGGGGTTGAGGTGGCCAAACTAAAACATGGCATCAGTGTATGATTTGTTTGACTGTTGGTTTGAGCCATGTGGGGCAATGCAGACTAGCCGATTGGGATCCATGGGACAAGAGGAACCAGTGGTTGGGGACTGACTCTAGGTGACCACATGGCTCAGAACCGATGTCAGTGGTGCATATATATACACATACACACATTATCCTCATCTTAACGACGCTATACCGAATCTCACCATTTTCTCATTCTTCCTTTCTCTCTTTGAGTACTTTATATTCCTTTTGACTGGATTTTCTTTTTTTCATCTTCCACTTGACTGCCTTTTTACTTGATGTGGTGATATGAGGTGTGGCAAGTTGGACCGTTATGCAGTAACGCCTTATCCTGTGTTGACCTGGATGGATGAGCTCATCAATGACACTATGAAGTTGACAACTAGACACCACTGAAGGAATATGATCTCCAAACTCAGTCAACATGTGCTAACAACTTCAATCCTATTTTCGACTACAACTTAGATAAGCTACTAACAATGAAAATGTAATCAGCGTGTAAAGTAACCCGATTTAATCGATAAAACTCACTTTCGTCGATTGGCATAATCTTTAGCAGTATGAAAAGTTTTCGATGCCATCTGTTTATCTGTCTTCTCATTCACTTCAAAGTCTTTCTTGAATCCACTCAATATCTGTTCCAATTTCTCTTCTCGATTAGTACCTTTGTTTTTATAATGAATACACACAAATTGAAAGTAATTCCTTACACACTTAAGTAGTTAAACAGGATGATAAAAAAAATAACTATGAAATCACCGTACATAGAATAGTTTTTTTTGAAAGTTAAACAGAACATTAAGGCAAGTGTATAACTTCGGGGCCATTATGGTACACATAATACTGTATTCCTGTTTCATTATTATTAATATTTGTCCCTTGGGTTCCTAATGGAAAATAGGGCTTCAGTAGCACGTCTCGATTACACTCTCTTCTCTGCAAACTTATGAACCTGGCTCCACCACTGCCCACAAGCTCTCATTTCCTCCTCACACCATCTCCTTCATGTCACCCTCAACACTGACGCCCAACTCGTCGTTTCCCATCGAGGTTCCACTCGACAGCCTGACGCGTGATATCCCCAGTCGACCTTCTCAGCGGATGCCCAATCCATCTCCACCTTTGTTGAACGATAGGTTCTCACTTCGTTGGTTCGTTACCAGACACAGTTCCTTGTTGCTTATTCTCACTATTCTGGCCATCTGATCTTCAGTGTCAGTAACGAGCCAGTGTAGGCAGTTGTTGATCAATGTCTGTACTTTATTGGAAATCCCTTTCGTGACGCGCCAAGCCTCTGAGCCACCACATGGAAGCACTGACTTACTTGACTGAATTGGTGTTGAAAATCCGGATGTTGTTCCACATGCTGAGTGCAGTGCAGAAGATCTCCACACTGGTTTCAGGCTAATCAACACAGACCTGTCTTACTGTCTTTCCGATCCTGGCTGGCTTTGACGTCCTCGTCTGTTCGGCCACCGCTTGTAGTTGAAACGGTGCTGCCTAGATAGGTGAAGGAGGCTACTTCCCTTAAGTTTCTTCCACTGGTGGTGATTGGAGCTTGTTGTTGCTGTTGTTGTTCGTTGGGTATCTTCATCACCTCTGTCTTCTCTACGTTCACTTGAAGTGCTGTCTCCACTGCCCTGCCTCACCTCTTCTGTCAACATGTTAGTTTTTGCCTGTAGATCTTCAAGTTGATGTGACATTAGACACAAGTCATCATCGGCGAAATCCAAATTGTCTAGGTTCTTTTCCGCGGTCCAGCATATCCCCCTCTTCTCACTCCTCACTGCTCTCTGCATGATCCAATCCACTGCAATCAGGAATATCATGGGTGATAACAGGCAACCTTGTTTCACTCCTGTCTTCACTTCAAAATCATCACTGAGCTTCCCATTGTGAATTACTTGGCATGTGGCGTCTTCATATAGTTGTTGAATAAGATTGATAAAGGTTTGTGGTATTCCGTAGTGTTGAAGCAACTGTCAAATTACTTGTCGGTCAACGCTGTCAAAGGCCTTTTCAAAGTCGATGAAGTTGAGGTAAAATCCAGTTGACTTTCATTTTATACTCTGTTCTATGATGATACGAAGCGTTGCAATTTGGTCCGTACATGATTTGTACTTGCTGAAGGCAGCCAGCCTGTTCCGGTCGTAGTTTTGAATCCGGCGCATCCTTTAGTCCTGTATTCCTGTATACCATATGAAATACGCAAATCTGTAAGAAGTAGAGTAGACTATCCAAGTTGAGATTTGATGGTTTTCAAATAAAAAATTCAACCATTGGGTAGATGAGTCTCCTTTGAAAGTTATTTATAAAGTGAAACCAATTATTTCAAAGAGGCGTGCGCATTTGCTACCTCAACACACTAGCAGAGACTTTAGCAATCTAGTCGTACAAGTTTAATGTTTAAGTTCAAAAGAGATACATTCAATGTCTAGTTTTGTCATGGTCGTAATCTTCCTAAGACACTTTTTATTCATTTATATATAGTTTTTAATGATTCGAACTATCAGCCGGTATAATCTTGCGACTTTACTGACCATTTTTGAAATGATGAAAAAGATTTGTAGCTTAAGATGAGGATGATGGTCGGATTCGATGTTCTCTGAGTTCAGAGAAGTTAACGGTCCAGTACCTAGAACAGTTGCGTTTCACTATTCAAACCTTCATGACACATTACTACCACCTGATCGTTTGCACACTGGGCAGCCAAGTCAGGACTTCTTATACCAATCGAAATATAACTGAATTATACAGAGGCAGCACCATATTGATTGATATAAAATAAAAATGTGGTCAGAAATCACACGTCGTAGCTCAGTTGGAGGAGTATCGAGCCAGAAACCCCAGTGGCCGCCGGTTCGAATCAGACCCCAGTCAAAATTCTCATCTCACCTTCAATCATCATCCCAGTATCAGTATATACTAGTCTGCCAAACTATGGCTGTTATCTCACATAGTCAAAATGATAATCAATATGATGCTCCCCGTCTCATTCTTATTCACTTACATTTCGATTGGGATGAAAAGCGTTGACTGGTTGGCAGTCAGTGTGAATACGATCAAGTGGTAGTAACGCATCATGAATCCACATGAGGTAGTCGGGTAAAAAAAGGCAGTTGAACCTCGTAGCTCAGTTGATAGAATGTAGAACCAAAAACTCAGTGGCCGTTGATTCGAGTCCGACCCCAGTTCAAATTCTTATTTCACTAACACATATATGCCTTGTTCTACGAAATGACTTAGCATCTTTTCTCTATATACTTTCACATGAAGCGAATGGAATGGTTTAGTTGGCTTCTGTTTGTAGAATGAATATGATTGACAAGTATGTATGTAGTTATCATCAATAAGGGAAAGGATATAATTGAAATAATAACACAATTAAAAAAAACTCATGAAGATCAGCTGGGTGAGAAAATAAAAAAGGGGTCAGGTAGGAAGGCTGATTTAAAGGCTGAATAACAATGAAAATCAATAGAGCGAAAAAAATAATAGTACATCGAACTTGGTTTTTTTCCATAGTTGAATTTACCAAGGAAGGTTTAATGTGACAACAAATTGTTTATGAATACATAAAGGTGGTTTCAACTTCCTAATAGCTAAGGCTTCAACAAATTTCAGGATCCCTCCCGAACATGTTTTGTAATAAATAGGTGTAAAGGAAGTAGCCACATCAATCTTGTGACCTGTCTCAACAATATGTTTGGCGATCGAAGAATTTGGACGTCTGCTACCAACATTTATAGGTTCAGGTGATTTAATTTGCTTCTGAAGCCACTTTGAAATATATATGTTCCGAGGCCCTTACTTGCATGGATCTATTAGTCCTCCCTATGTATGTGTCACCACATGTACATTTGAATTGATAGATACAATGGGATGTGACATTATCGTTCACATGCTGTGGGGGTTTGGGGGAATATAAGGGCTTCATGGTTTCGATTACTGGAACCTTGGCTGAATAGTAAGCAGAGACTTAACGCTGCTGTTAGAAGGACTTACTATGCAGCCAAGGTTCCAGTAATCGAAACCATGAAGCCCTTATATTCCCCCAAACCCCCACAGCATGTGAACGATAATGTAACATCCCATTGTATCTATCAGTTCAGATGTACGTGTGGTGACACATACATAGGGAGGACTAATAGATCCATGCAAGTAAGGGCCTCGGAACATATATATTTCAAAGTGGCTTCAGAAGCAAATTAAATCACCTGAACCTATAAATGTTGGTAGCAGACGTCCAAATTCTTCGATCGCCAAACATATTGTTGAGACAGGTCACAAGATTGATGTGGCTACTTCCTTTACACCTATTTATTACAAAACATGTTCGGGAGGGATCCTGAAATTTGTTGAAGCCTTAGCTATTAGGAAGTTGAAACCACCTTTATGTATTCATAAACAATTTGTTGTCACATTAAACCTTCCTTGGTAAATTCAACTATGGAAAAAAACCAAGTTCGATGTACTATTATTTTTTTCGCTCTATTGATTTTCATTGTTATTCAGCCTTTAAGTCAGCCTTCCTACCTGCTCCCTTTGTCTTTTCTCACCCAGCTGATCTTCATGAGTTTTTATATATATACCTATGACAAGTAAGTGTGTGATTAGATAGTTCGAAATGTGTTGCGCAAATACACCATTACACGACCCAGACAATTTACGTCTTCTTATTGTTTTATCGAAGTTTATAAAGGGAACTAATTGTTTTTAAAGAAAAACACTCGATGGAACATTAGTTTACCTGTTTTTTTCCATGTATTCTTTACAGCTTCAGTTAATTTACGCTTTTCTTCTTTACGTGCTTGATGCACAACTTGTTGAACTTGTTTACCAAATTTACGTCTTTCTCTAATTTGTCTAGCACGTTCACGTAAAGCTAATTTTTGTTTAGTTTCAATTAAATATTGTTTAATCTGTATACAACAATTGAATATATACAGATAATTATTAATAATAGAAAAATGAATAAAGTTTAATGATAAACTACTTTTATATTGGATAATGATTGAAGGTTTTAATGAAAATTTAAACCGTAGACGGATTCGAACCAGTGAACCAATGAGTTTTTGGTTCGACACTCTATCAGCTGAGCTACGAGGTTCAACTGCCTCTTTTACCCGACTACCTCATGTGGATTCATGATGCGTTACTACCACTTGATCGTATTCACACTGACTGCCAACCAGTCAACACTTCTCATCCCAATCGAAATGTAAGTGAATAAGAATGAGACGGAGAGCATCACATTGATAGTCATTTTGACTATGTGAGATAACAGCCATAGTTTGGCAGGGTGATGATTGAAGGTGCTCTACCAACTGAGCTAGGGGGTTTAACTGTTGACCACAATTTTGATTTCACTTCAATCACCAAATTTTTCTTACCCGACTACCATGTGAAAACTACTTTTCATGATTAATATAAGTGAAAAACTTGGGCACTGTGGTAGAATGTAGTTCCATATTAGATTTGTTTATTTGATATAAAGCGCACAGTGATACAGTATTATTTACTTGATTACGTTTCGAGCATAAATTATTGCTCATAATCATATCAATGTAATCACACTTCTTTCGATATCTGATTTTATTGTCCTGTCACCTGATCTCTCTTTGTTTTTTTGATTGGTAGTAAAGTTTTCCATATCTCTGGTATAGGTGTTGCGTCATTCCTATTACATGTGTTGGGTGTGGATTCGATGAACAAAGATTCAGTAATTAATCTCTCTCTCCACCTAGCTATATTAGACTTAAGTACAGTGGTTTTGTCCCATCCTATTGTGTGGTTGTGTGTTAATGAATGTAATGCAATGGCTGAGTGTTTTTCTAGGTTATTGATCTTATTGGGGTCTGTCGTTCTATGTTTAGCTAAATTCCTATGTTCTGTTAATCTAACTGACCCCGACCGGCTAGTTTGACCTATGTATTTGACTTCACAGTCATTACATGGAATTTGGTAGATTATATTATTTTGCTTAATTGGTTCTATCGGATCTTTTAGCCGACAAAGCTTACCTCTAAGTGAGTTTGTTGGTTTAAATGCCACCCTAATTCCAACCTTGTTGAGAATCCTACGTATGGTTTCTGATGTTCCTTCCTTGTATGGTATCACAATAGAGGTGCTGATTTCCTTTCTACTTATGTTGTCACTATTATTTGTATTTGTATTAGTGTTATTATTTTGCTTCTTATGCGTCCGTGTGAATTTCTTAATAAAATGATGGGGATAATTATTAGTTATTAACGCTTCTTTTATGTGTTTCAATTCCTTATTTAAGTCCTTACAATGACTAGTGAGTTTCTCAGCTCTGTTATTTAGACATTTGACTAAACCCGCTTTAACTGACACTGGATGAGATGACTTGAAGTCTAGATACCTGTTAGAATGTGTTGGTTTTCTGTAGACGGTAGTATCTAAACCACCATCTATCCTTCGTTTTATTCTGCAATCCAACATAGGTAATTCTCCTTGTTCATTTTCTACTTCGTAGGTGAATTGGATTGCGTTAACTACTGAGTTTATGTGTGTCAAGAAACTGTCGATATGTTCCGATTTCAACACTGTAAATGTGTCATCTACATATCGCCACCATATCTTAGGTGTCGGATTATATGTTCGTAAAGCCATATCTTCCCAACTATCCATAAATATATCTGCTACTATAGGGGATATTGGTGATCCCATTGCTACTCCTTCTGTTTGTCTGTATATCTTTCCCTGAAACTTGAAGACTGTCGAGGTTAAGCATAACTGCACTCCTAACATGATTTCACCAACCGATGCCTTGGTTCTTTGAGTAAGTTGTGAGTCAGTATCTAGTTGATTTCTGACTGCCTCCAGTGCCATATTGATTGGTATTTTAGTATAAAGACTTGTTACGTCAAAACTAACCATTTTTTCATCCTCTTCTATGTGCAGGTCATTAAGTTTTTGTTTCAACTCGTAAGAATTTACTAGTCTAGAGTTGGAACGGTCTCTAACAGGACGTAATACTGATGCTAAATACTTTGATATCTCATATGTTGGTGTGTTTCGGAAGTCAACTATCGGCCTAATGGGATAACCTGCTTTATGAACCTTAATAGTACCGTAAATTCTGCTATGATTATTAGTTTTTGGCATTAAAGTAAACCATTCGGACTTACCTAGAGATGGCTTCAGTCGGCGTATCAGATCTGTTGTAGATTTCTTAATTTTATTCATGACAGTATCTATAGGTTTCTTAATCTCTTCATATGGCCCTGTTTGGATATGTTCATCCATTTTTTTAAGATAATCCGATTTAACACACAACCACACAATAGGATGGGACAAAACCACTGTACTTAAGTCTAATATAGCTAGGTGGAGAGAGAGATTAATTACTGAATCTTTGTTCATCGAATCTACTTTTCATGATGTTTAATCTCACATCTGTAAATTGGAGACGTGTGAAATTGATCAATGTTATATGAATTGACGACAGAGATTGTCGAATACTGTGGCATAGTTTCGACGTGTTTTACTCTGTCCAAGGACATTCAACAAGACATGTTGAGAATGCCTTAATTCTAAAATTAACTGACAGAATTGTAAAAGGCAGAACCCTGTAGAAAGAGTTTTCAAAAGTCATTTTATCTCACTGCTACTGAATAGAAATATACAGCGAAATCTGGAAGTTATGACTTCTTTAAAGAATGTTAACCAGTTATTGGTAGATATAATCATTAGGAAATCAGATCACTACACATACTACTCTGAATGAGGTTGAAAATATAACATTTTGAAATAATTAGTCAAATCAATGCTGCTATATGGTTCAGAAACTTGGCGCGTCACAAAAGCACTTCCAACAGATTACAGACATTCATCAACAACTGCCGCCTACGCTGGCTAGATACTGAAGATCAGATGGCCAGAAAGAATAAGCAACACGGAACTCTGGGAACGAACCAACCAGGAACCTATCACCCAACAAATATGCAGTAGAAAAAAGCGGAGATAGATTGGGTATACACTGAGAAGGCCGATTGGGGACATCACGCGTCAGGGCCAGGCCCTCAAGTGATTTCAAAAGGGGGACGACAAGTTGGGCGTCCGGAGCGAGGGTGACATGGAGATGATGTAAAGAAGAAATGAAAGCTTTTTGGGCAGTCGTGGAGCCTGGTTGAAGAGACTGCAGAGAAGAGGGTGAGATGGCAACGTGCTACTGAAGCCCTATATTCCACTAGGAACCCAAGGGAAAAATAATAATTAATAAACTTCGATAACGAATACGAAGATTATCTGAACAATATAAGTGATGTATTTAACCAATACAACATTTCGAACAATCTGATCCCCCCCACACACATTTTACTTGTCAATTTATATATGAAAATGAAAGGTCAAATGTATAATAAATACGTAACCCCTTTTTCGGGGAATTGTGGGGATTTGGAAATACTTCAAGTTGTTATTCATCGTAGACTGACATCAGTTGGAAGAACAAAAGAAACCTGGGAGCACTGGACAACTGTTTCGTCCTAGTATGGGACTCCTCAGCAGTGCGCACCCAGGATCCCGCTAGGGATCGAACCCACGAACTTCAGGTTTCAACTGATGTCAGTCAACGATGAATAACAATTTGAAATACGAAAAGGTTGTGCACACTAGTCTTGGTAATATAATCAGATAATTAAGTGAAATAACAAATTGTTATTATACACACAACGGGGGTTTACGTTTACGAATAGCTAACGATTTGGTAAACTTCGGTATGCGCCCCAGACTATTCTTATATAATAAATTAAATGTTATTTCCTATTAAATCTTATGATTTGTTTCGGTGAAGATGTTTTGCTGTGGATGGAGATGGATGTCTGTCACTTGTGCTTATCAAAGTTTATGGGTTAAGTTGTTTTTTCAAACCACCCTAGGTATATGTTCACCCATCGTAGTCTGCATAGTACGATTACTTCTTCCCGAGTATATATCTTCACACATGTAAATTGGTAAACACAATGAGATGTAACATAACCATTTATGCGACGTTGAGATTTATGTCGAAGCAGGTGTTTTGTTGATACCTAAAGAAATATATCCTTTTTCAAGACCGAGGAAATTATAGGCTTCGAGGTTTACAAACTGTAATCGATTTCCGTTTCCCATAAATGTGTCTCTCAGAAATTTCCTTTCATCATCCAGTGTATCAGGTGTACAAATACGTTGGGTACTATTTAATAAGCATCTTACTAAGCCTCTCTTACATAGCGTTAACCGAGAAGTGATTTGGCAACTGCTTCTACACTACGCTTTGAGTGACAAAAACCATTATCAACCTTATTCAACAGCTATATGCTATGCTATGTCATGCTGCATGCTAAGTGATCCACAATCGAAAGTTCAGTGATGCCTTTGAAGTGAAGTGAAGACAGGAGTAAGACAAGGTTGACACCTACTATCACCGATCATCTTCATGATTGTGGTCGACTGGACCGAACTGGATCAACCAACAAACAACTACGAAGAGCGAGAAGATGGGCATATGCTGGCTGGACCGATGAAATACCCTAGAAGAAGATTTGAATTTCCCCGATGATGATTTATGTCAAATGTCTTACGTCGAACAAACTCGAAGATGTACAGGCGAAAACTAATAAGTTGCCAGAAGAGGCGAGGCAGCGAAGGAAGACGGGACTTCCTTCAGGTTAAGGTGGAGAAGACAGTGGTGATGAAGATACCCAACCAATAACAACAAGCACCAATCACCACCAATGGGAGAAATCTAAACGAAGTTGTCTCTGTCGCCTACCTAACTAGGTAGCATCGTTTCAAGTACAGGCGACAGCTCAGGTGAGGATGTCAAAGTCAGGATCGGAATGATAGAAAGACAAGTCTTCATTAATCTGAAATCAGTGTGGAGATCTACTGCATTCTACTCCACTAAGCATAA